GTTTGACATTTTTGAGCCATCCTTTATATTTTGGCGCAAGTTGTTCCGGGCTCATCTTGTACCTTTCCTTTCCTTTTAGATTTTTTTTTTTTTTTATTTGACAGAGAGAGACAGCAAGAGAGGGAACACAAGCAGGGGGAGTGGGAGAGGGAGAAGCAGCTTGCCGCTGAGCAGGGAGCCTGATGCGGGGCTCGATCCCAGGACCCTGGGATCATGACCTGAGCCGAAGGCAGGCGCTTAACGACTGAGCCACCCAGGCACCCCAGTCATCTTGTACCTTTCCTGCTACAGCCTCGGAACCAGCCATTTTCCCAGTGGGCCTGGTTCCCTTTAGTGGAGAAGAAATTTAGAAATTTAGATTGGGCTGCTGCTGGCGGTGCTTGTTGCTACCAGGGTGTCAGTGCTCAATGATTCCATTTCTAGGACTATTGATTCAACAATTTAATACTTGTATGTGTGAACAAAGATGCATATTCAAGGACATTTGTTTTCTCATCAGCTTCACTACTTCCAAATAAGACCAAGCCACCATCTGATTTTGCCTGTATTACTTTAAAAGCCTCCCAACTGGTCTCCCTGTTTACACAATGCCCGCTCTACAGTCTCTTTTCCGCACAACATCCAGAATAATTACAAAAGGGGCACCTGGGTGGCTCAGTCAGTTAAGCGTCTGCCTTTGGCTCAGGTCATGATCTCCAGCTCCTGGAATTGAGCCCCACATGGGGCTCCCTGCTCAGTGGGGAACCTGCTTCTCCCTCTACCTCTGCCTGCCTCCACCCCCCCACTCATGCTCTAATAGATAAAATCTTTTTTTAAGATTTTATTTATTTTTATTTTATTTTTTAAAGATTTTATTTATTTATTTGAGAGAGAGAGAGAGAGAATGAGAGAGAGAGAACATGAGAGGGAAGAGGGAGAAGCCGACTCCCTGCTGAGCAGGGAGCCCAATGTGGGACTCGATCCCGGGACTCCAGGATCATGACCCGAGCCGAAGGCAGACGCTTAACAACTGAGCCACCCAGGCGCCCCAAGATTTTATTTATTTATTTATTTGACAGAGAGAGAGACAGCGAGAGAGGGAACACAAGCAGGGGGAGTGGGAGAGGGAGAAACAGGCTTCCTGCGGAGCAGGGAGCCCAATGCGGGGCTCGATCCCAGGACCCTGGGATCATGACCTGAGCCGAAGGCAGACACTTAACAACTGAACCACCCAGGCACCCCTAAATAAATAAAATCTTTAAAAAAAATTAAAAAAATCCTATCACATTCTGTCCTGCTTATAATACTCCGCCCACTAAGAATAAAATCCAAAATTCTCAACATGGCTTCTAGGCACCACAGCATCTGGCTTCATCCCTAACCCCATTAACTCCCACCTTCTTGCTCACTCTCAGGCCAAGGATAATCCAGCCCCAGCGTTGTTGTACCTGCTTTTCTCCCCCAGGTATTCAAATGGCTTGTGAAGTTCTTTAGTAGGTCTCCACGCAAGAATCACCTCTTTGGGGAAGCCTTCCCTGGCTATCCTATTGAAAACAGCACCGCATTACTTAATAACTGACATTACATCATATGTTCACCAGTTTGCTTGTTGTCAGTCTCTGTTTCTCTGGGTTCTACCTCTAAAGTAAGCTCCCTGAGGGACTTTTTTGGCTCTCCCCTGTAACCCCAGCCCCTAGAATACTTGCCTGGTGTACTGTGGATTCTCAAACGGCTGCTGAGGGAATGAAGATAACTTTCATTCCCTGGGGCTTTTGCACCCACCAGCTCTCTGCCTGGCTTCTTCCTCACCCTTCTCTTTGCATGGCTAGCTTTGTCACATTCTTTAGCTCTCAATTTAAATGTCACCTCCTCAGAAAGCTACCCTGTTTACCTTATTCTAAGTTCCACTACTGCACTTGTCTTTTCTATCCAGCCTCTCATTCCTGCTGTAATACTTATAACAATTTGCCTTTATCTGTTTGCATGGTGTCCCATCCCCATTTCTTCCCCTAAAATGTAAGCTCCATAAGGGCAGAAACTGCCATGGCTGTCTCATTCACTATTGTATCCCCAGGGCCTAGAACAGTTCCTGGCGAATAATAGACCCTCAAGAAATTGTTGGATATGGGAGCCTGGGTGGCTCAGTTGTTAAGCGTCTGCCTTCGGCTCGGGTCATGATCCCGGGGTCCTGGGATCGAGTCCGACGTCGGGCTCCCTGCTTGGTGGGAAGCCTGCTTCTCCTTCTCCCACTCCCCCTGCTTGTGTTCCCTCTCTCGCTGTCTCTCTCTGTCAAGTGAATTAAAAAAAAAATTGTTGGATAGACTTTTAATAGCTAAAAACTGGAAAGAATCCAAATGCTATAGAATATTGGGTGATTGTTGAAGAATGAGGTAGCTCCATGTGCACTGGCACGGAATGATGTCCACAATATACTTACAGTAAAATGTAACAGGTAAAACTGCTAATTCCTTTTATGTAATTAATATTATGTGCACAGAAAAAATATAGGAAAAATAACAGTTTGGACCCTACCAATCATTTGGGAATAAGGATATTAAAAAGATCTTAACTTCCTATTTTATATATTACTAGGTAGCAAATTATATTTTTTATTTTTTTAAAGATTTTTTATATATTTATTTGACAGAGAGATAGAGAGCACAAGTAGGCAGAGGGAGAGGGAGAAGCAGGCTCTCCACCAAGCAGGGAGCCAGACGCGGGGCTCGATCCCAGGACCCTGAGATCATGACCTGAGCCGAAGGCAGCTGCTTAACCGACTGAGCCACCCAGGCGCCCCCCTATTTTTTATTTTTTTTAAATTTATTTATTTGAGGGGCGACTGGGTGGCTCAGTTGTTGAGCGGCTGTCTTTGGCTTGGGTCATGGTCCCGGGGTCCTGGGATCGAGCACCGCATCAGGCTCCTGCTTGGCAGGGAAGCCTGCTTCTCTCTCTCCTACTCCCCGTTTGTGTTCCCTCTATTGCTGTCTCTGTCAAATAAATTTAAAAAAATCTTTAAAATTTATTTATTTGAGAGAGAGAAGGGGGGAGAGGCAGAGGGAGGTGAAGAGAGGGAGAGAAGCAGACTCCCTGCTGAGTGTGGAGAGATCTCAGGACCCCTGACCCCAACCCCAAGACCATGACCTGAGCTAAAATCAAGAGTAGGTCAGGGCGCCTGGGTGGCTCAGTCGTTAAGTGTCTGCCTTCGGCTCAGGTCATGATCCCAGGGCCCTGGGATCGAGCCCCGCATTGGGCTCCCTGCTCGGCGGGAAGCCTGCTTCTCCCTCTCCCACTCCCCCTGCTTGTGTTCCCTCTCTCGCTGTGTCTCTCTGTCGAATAAATAAAAATTAAAAAAAAAAAAGTAGGACACTCAACTGAAACACCCAGGCACCCCCAACAAACTTTTTTTTTTTTTCAAAACAAACACTAACATTTGATCACTTAGTACATGCCAGGCACCGTGGTAAACATTTTGTGTGCAGCATTTCAAGGCATCTTCTCAATAACCTCATGAGATAGAGGTCCTAATACTATCACCCCCATTTGCAATGAAGAAATTGATTCAGGGACATTAAGCAATTTACCTAAGGTCACATAGCAGACCCATTACACTACACCACCTCCCTGTGTCTTTATAGTTTAAGAAAAAAAAAAAAAGGAAAGGAAAATAAGATGAAACTAGGGGTGACCGTTCAGGATCCAGGCTTTATACAAAAGATACTAAGCAAATTTGGCCCTGAGATCCCTAGAAGCCAGGGCAAAAAGAAAAATATGATCAGTTATGAGATCCTTGGTGCTTCCAAAATAAAAGTAAAACACTCATCAGGAGAAAAACTCTTCCCAAGTGGTGAGGCTTGAGAGCCCTTCCATGAGGTTCATAAACACAGCAGTATTCAGTCCAGTGGTGTACGGCTTCAATAACATAACTGTATACCCAGGCAGCTGTTGGCCCTCCAACAAGTGGAAATTCAGTAAAAGCAATTCCACAAGGAGCCACATTTGTACAGCCTGGGTATCAGATCTGGACTCCTGCCAGACCTATAGTTAAAATTGGATGTGTGGCCTAACCCTCCAGCAAACTCCTGGAATACTGCAAATTCAGCCTGTTAAAGACTGTTAGTAAGAATCAGGAGACAAGAAGTGACATTCATCTGAAATTTCAACCCTAGTGCATTTTCCGGGTAGGCTGGGTTGATTTTATGCTTCTTTTACAGATGAAGAAACTGAGGCTCGGAAAGCCCAGTTATACGTCTAGAAAATGTCAGTGGTAGCCCTAAATCTATGTCTTAGGCATTCCTTCCTCAGCCACGCCTACCACCCACGCTTCAACAAAAGCGCTTAGGCCCTCAAAATCTCTCCGCGGTGCTGGGCTGCTGGGCCTAAGAAGCCTACCCACGGTCCTGCACACTGGAGAAGAGCTGCTGAAACAGGCAGCGCGGCCCCACCCGTGAGGAGGCACACTGGCTCTTCCCGAGCAGGGGAGTAAGGCTCACATTACCGAGATGAGGAACACCCCCACCCACCCTAAACAGAAAAGCGATCTCGCAGCATACACTTGACTTCACTCATTTACTTTTCACTACAACCTGCGGATAGGTGGGCCCTGAGCTTGGGGAGGCATTTGGGCAATTCGGGAAGTTCTGTTAGACGGAGGAGAGGAAAAAGGGAAAGTGGGGGCTTGGTGCAGGGCAGGCTTCTAAGATCGGGAAGAGGAGGGAGAGACGAAACAAAGGGTCCACGCCCTTTTTTCCGCCGCACACCCAGGTTTCCCAAGTCCGAGTGGGAGGGAAGAGAAACAGGGCATCCACCCGGAGATGCTCTTGATCTCTTCTCGCCCTTCCCCCGCTATCCAGCAATAACGCGAGAGAAATCAGGGAAGTGCAGCAGGTGGGCGGCGTGCAGGCTTGGTAAAAAAAAAAAAAGCGAGGTGACAGGTGCATCCAGCGCCGGCGCACCGGGGAGGTCTCCTTCGTGGCCGGCTGAAGGCGGCGGGAGCAGGGGAGGAGAGCCGCGCGCGTGCTCACCGGGCCAGCCGCCGGGCCCTGTGGCGTCCTCAGCTCGGGCCTTTCCTCTTCCTCCGGCGGCCACGATCCGCCGCTTCCGCGGCCAGGCTGCTGTCGCCGCCGTCGTTGCTGGCGGGCGGCCGCAGCACACGCCTCTGCACACGGTACTGGGGCTCGGGGATGTGCGGCGCGCCCTGAAGCAGGAACTGGCCTCCGAGGTAGGTGACGCGCACGTCTGTGCGCGGGTACGTGCCGTACACACGCCGCAGCTCCCGGCGCACCACATCCGGCAGCTCGAGGCGCGGGCCGTGCGCGCGGTCCACGCATCCCCAGCGCAGCTCGGTGTGCATGCTCCAGCCCTCGGGCCACGGCGCCCCGCGGTGGGCAGCCGCCGTCCCTTCCGCCGCGGGCCCTTGTAGCGATGGCCCCAGGTAGCCGGGCACCGGGAAAGGCGGGTGCAGGGCCGCGGCGTAGGCCTGCGGGAAGGCCCATGAGGACAGCGTTGCGGCCAGGGGCGCGCCTGAGCCATGGAAGCAGTGATATTCCCGCGGACCCGGCCACTCACCTGCGGTCAGGCTGGGGGGCCGACTGCAGAAGCTGTGGGCGTGGATGGGGGGCAGCAGCAGAGAGCCGGGCAGGTAGGTGTAGGTGAGGGGCTGCAGCGGAGGCCAGGCGCCCTCCCCGGATGCCAGGCAGCTGTACGAGTACATGGTCTGAAGCTCAGGCGGCGGGCATTTTTACTGGGGCCTGGTCCAAACCTGTGCTGGGGGTGTGTGTGGTTACCCTTTGTTCTATCTCCACCACCGATCCCAGGGGCTTGGTAACCCAGGGCTCTGGTTTACAGCAGGAGCCCACGTGCAGCACCTGATGGTTTGGGGGAACTCTTCCTAAGGCATTCAGCTTCCGTCTCACCTCTTGTCCCAGGGCTGAGCCGAGCCCCAGACTCTCAATAAGCAGTAAGGACCCAAGACCTTTTCAAGCCTTCGCTCGTGAAGTGTTCTTCCCAGGTGGTTCCCCACTCGTCTCCTTCAACCCAGGGGGCGTTGGTACCCAGCATTTGGGGGAGCCAGAGAAGTCCAGAGCAGGCTCCTCTCCACCACTTTTTAGTGGCTCTGCTCCCCTCCATGCCCTGCCTCAGCCACACCTCCTGGTTTCCAGGCAAAGGGAAACACATTTTGCTGGCCATAAGCCAGCCAGCCTGTATCTACACTGGGTGAGCCTGCTGGTCGTACCTGCCTGCCCTGGACGGTGAGGCCTGTGCTCAGGGATGCCCTCACTCCTACATCACTGAGAATATCTTGTTGCCCTTTCCAACCAGTTAGCCACCTGTTCCCCGCACCCCATCCTCCCAGCCCTTCCAAATGGGTCGAGTTATCCTAACATTTGAGTGAAGCTCCTACACCAGGCACTGAGTCAAGTTGCTTATGAGCATCTAACTTTAAGTTTACATCAACCCTAGGAAGGAGGTACTAATATATTCCCCACTTTACGTAGGAGGAAGCTGCTTGCCTCAAATTTGGTAGTAAATGTATTCTATGATTAGGAAACACTTCCTGTTGTAGGCTTATGTAGGTTAAAGTATATTACCCAAACTCACACAGCTAGTTATGGTAAGAGCAAAATTCAACCCCATGTCTGTCTCAAGACTCATGATTGGTAATTAGCTTTATAGCCAATCCATGCTGGGACTTCTTTCACACTGTCTCCAATCCTCACCTCTAGAATGTTACATAAGAACTAATTTTTTTTTTAAGATTTTATTTATATGACAGAGACACAACGAGGGAGGGAACACAAGCAAGGGGAGTGGGAGAGGGAGAAGCAGGCTTCCTGCCGAGCAGGGAGCCCGATGCAGGGCTCGATCCCAGGACTCTGGGATCATGACCTGAGCCGAAGGCAGACGCTTAACAACTGAGCCACCCAGGCGCCCCAAGAACTAATTCTTAATAGCCATGTGAAGAAATGGTAGTATCATTTTCATTTAATTGATAAGGAACCAGAGGCTCAGAGAAGTTAGGCCACTCCCAGGTTTATGTAGTCTAGGTAGCCCAGTGGGATTTGAACCCATTCCAACTAAGGCCAAAGCCCAGAAGCTACTTGGGTGAAGATTGCTTCATCCAGGTGGTGTGAAGCCCTGTCTAAGCTCTAGTCCCCTCTGGCTGCAAGCCACAGTCCTCCACCTCTTTTTTCCCCAGTGGGGTGGGTGATAGTTGCTGGATACTTAAAACTGATACCCTCTCCCAGCTGCTGAGCTGCTGGGCCATCATACTCTCCTTCTTCCTCTTCTCTTGACTCAGGCAGCTTCCCCAGTAACTCCCACAGGTTCTCCTCTAAGTTCTCAGTGTCTCACAAAGGCCAGCTACCCTCTGAGAAGTTCTACACTCACCCTGATGATGTCACACTTTTATATTCCTGACTGAGCTGGTCTCCCAAGTTTTGGGCCATTGGCCTGGTGAAGATAGATACTGGAACTGGGTATCTACCTAACACTCCCTACCCCAGAGCTCCAAGAAGGGAGCCTCACCCTTTGTGCATTCTAGGAACTAGTCCCAAGACACAGTGGCCTTTGTTGGGAGAGGCCTTCACCACCAAGATGTCCACAACCTAATCCCTGCAAACCTGCCAGTATGTTATATTACATGGCAAGGGGGAATTAAGGTTGTAGATGGTATTAAGGTTGTGAATTAGCTGTCCCTTAAAATGAGATTATCCTGGATTATCCAGATAGATCCAATGTAATCACAGGTGTCCTTAAATGTGGAAGAGGGAGGCGGAAGAGTCAGAGTGATGTTATATGAGAGTGAACCAGCCATTGCTGGCTTTGAAGATGGAAGGGGTTCATGAGCTAAGGAATGCAGGCAGCCTTTGGAAGCTGAAAAAGACAAGGAAATGGATTCTTCCCTAGAGCCTCCAGAAAGGAACACAGTTCTGTCAGCACCTTGATTTTAGTTAATGAGGCAGAATTCTAACCTCCAAAATTGTAAGATAATAAATTTGTAGTGTTTTAAGCCACTAAGATTTTGGCAATTTGCTACAGTGCCAATAGGAAATTAATATACCTCCCCATTCCTATTTATAACTTTGCTGTCTCCAAATCTCAGCACTTGAGGAATGTCCAAGACTACCTATAGACTGACCTCACCCAGGCCTGGAGCTCAATCATGGGCCCTATGGGACTGGCGCCTTTCTCCACCTCCTCCCACAAGGGGATCTGGTCACAAGTGTGAGACCAAGCTCAAGTTGGAGGCTGGGAGGGTCAGAAGCCTGTATTTTAACAATTGGTCCCTACATGCTTGCTGAAGACCTCTGCTGGTCTGGTGGTGGTTCAGGTAAAATGGGAAAAATAAGGACCAAACTGAGTTTCTTAATATTCATCCTGACTCCAGTAACAGCTTCTAGATTTTTTTTTAAATAAATCTTTTATTTATTTATTTGACAGAGTCACAGAGAGAAAGGGAACACAAGCAGGGGGAGTGGGAGAGGGAGAAGCAGGCTTCCTGCTGAGCAGGGAGCCCAATGCAGGGCTCGATCCCAGGACCCTGGGATCATGACCTGAGCCGAAGGCAGATGCTTAACGACTGAGCCACCCAGGTGCCCCAACAGCTTCTAGATTTTTGGGGTCCCATAACGTATCTACTCAATAAAGTGGTTCTGGGGGAGTTGGCTCTATTCTATCCTTAAAGTTAGGGGTGATTTAAAGGAATGAGATCTTGCCATTTGCAACGACGTGGATGGAACTGGAGGGTGTTATGCTGAGTGAAATAAGTCAATCAGAGAAAGACATGTATCACATGACCTCACTGATATGAGGAATTCTTAATCTCAGGAAACAAACTGAGTGTTACTGGAGTGGTTGGGGGTGGGAGGGTGGGGTGGTTGGCTGATAGACATTGGGGAGGGTATGTGCTACAGTGAGCGCTGTGAATTGTGCAAGACTGTTGAATCACAGATCTGTACTTCTGAAACAAATAACGCAACATATTTTAAGAAAAAAGAAAAAGAAGAAGATAACAGGAGAGGAAGAGAAGGGGAGTATGTCAGAGGGGGAGACGAACCATGAGAGATGATGGACTCTGAAAAACAAACTGAGGGTTCTAGAGGGGAGGGGGGGGATGGGTTAGCCTGGTGATGGGTATTGAGGAGGGCACGTTCTGCATGGAGCACTGGGTGTTATGAACAAACAATGAATCATGGAACACTGCATCAAAAACTAATGATGTAATATATGGTGATTAACATAACAATAAAAAAATTTAAAAAAAAGTTAGGGGTGATTTATGGCTAGATCAATCACACTGCCATCCCTCTGGCCATAAGGATTGGTTGAGGGTAGCCAGGTGACTCAACTGATCAGGGGAATCAGGCCCAGGACTTTGTTCTTTTGGGGTGGAGGGAAGTGCTCTCTTTCCCCTGGACAGAAATCTGAAAGAATGCAGTCTGGGTGGAGAGGTGAAGGCCTGTCTGAGGATGGAGCCACAGAAGAAGTGGAACCAAGGGACAGAAAGAGAAATTAAGTCCCGATGACATCATTTGAATCCTGGACTTTAAAGTTACATGAGCCAGTAAATTCCTTTTTTCCCTTCCAGTTTTATTGAAATATGATTGACATACACCACTGTATAGGTTTAAGGTATACAGCAAATGATTTGACTTAACGGATATTGTGAAATGATTACCACATTAAGTTTAGTTAATACCCATCATCTTATAGTTTTTTTCCCATGTGATGAGAACTCTTAGGATCTATTCTCTTAACAACTTTCAGATACACCTTGCAGCATACAGCAGTGTTTATAATCATGTACATTACATACCTAGTACTTCTGGAACTTTACCTTTTGACTGCCTTCCTCCAATGCCTCCTCCCATCCCCCCCCAATAAATTCCTTTCTTACTTAATCTGGTTTGAGTGGACTCTTTTCTTCTTTTTCTTTTTTTTTTTAAGATTTTATTTATGTATTTGACAGAGACATAGAGAGCACAGATAGGCAGAGCAGCAGGCAGAGGGAGGGGGAGAAGCAGGCTCCCTGCTGAGCAGGGAACTGGGGTGGGGCTCAATCCCAGGACCCTGGGATCATGACCTGAGCCGAAGGCAGCCGCCTAACCGACTGAGCCACCCAGGTGCCCCATGGACTCTTTTCTTTTCACACACCAGTTGTGTTTACTTCATATAAATTTAACTACAGAAGACAATGAAGCAGACTTTTGTTTTTAATTACAAAGGACCATCATCTAAGTCCTTAGAAAATTAAAAGTTTGGGTTATTACACTGTGGAGTGGAGTCTTCTGTTGTTTGCATCGCCAGTAACCCTGAGTGTTTTCCCCAGCATTTTATGAAAATTTTCAAAATGCAACAACCTGCGTAGGTTTTGAGCTGTGAACCGCATGATCAGAGGCTCTCCTGTTGGCAAAGAAGAGGAGGGTATAGATTGGTGAGAAAGAGGCTGGAAGCTAGTCTTGGAGGAGGTTCTCACACTAGCCCAGGAAAACTGACAACCAAAACAGGAGCTGGGGATGGAAAAGAGATGGGAGCAGATTCATCTAGAGTTGACCCCATATAACTGCCTGGGTGGAGAGGGTAGCAGAGAGGTGGATGCACATGTTTTTGATTTAGTTGCCTGGGTGGGTAGTCAAAGCAAGCCTGGAAAAGAAAAAAAAAACCCTTGTGGGCGATTGGAAGTTGAGGAAATGGTGCAGTCAGGGAGTTCATTTGGGGAGCTGTCCGGCATGTGGTTTTATCTTCAGGCTGGAGATGGGAGGTGGGGTAGTCATGAAGGGAAAAGTAGTAGGTGAAGGACTGGAATAGCTGCTACCTGGCCCAGGCCTCGCTGTGTCGTCATGGCTGCTAATTTGTTGGGTTCCACTTAAATGCAGCAATCTTGTGTTTGAATTACCTTTTACCCCAGATAGCCTATGGCCTGGCAAGTTTGAGTGAATAAATGAAAAGAGTTTTGAAAATGGAAGCTTGGGGGGTGAGGGTTGCCTGGGTGACTCAGTTGGTAGCATTTGCCTTTGGCTCAGGTCATGATCGTGGAGTCTCAGGATCGAGCCCTGCATCCATCGGGCTCCCTGCTAAAGGGGGAGTCTGCTTCTCCCTCACCCTCTGTTCCTCCCCTTCTCCCCTCTGCCCCCGCTTGTGTCCTCTCTCTCACTCTCTCAAATAAATAAAATCTTAAAAAAAAAAAGAAAGAAAATGGAAACTTGGGTGACCTGCCCTCTGATTTTAGAAAGCCCCTGGGAAAAAAGTGCCCTATTGAAAGGGACTGAGGAGGAGTTGTTAGGAGGAGAACATGATGAAACCTAGATCAGAGAGGTCAGAAGCCAAGGGAAGAGAGAATTTCAAGGAGAGAGACTGTTTATGTATCTATTTGTCCCACAATTCAGGGATTCTGATATGACTCAAGAAGTCAGGCAGATGATACTATCCCCCAGTTGCTTCCTATGTCCCTTCCCAGTTAGCTCTGTGGCTGGCAACCAGGAAGGGAAATTGGAGATAATCACAAGGCCTAGTCCTGGTGCTGACATAAGAGGTTAACTGGTTACATCGTCTATAAAATTAGAGGGATGAGGGGGCACCTGGGTGTCTCAGTCGGTTGAATGTCTGCCTTGGGCTCAGGTCATGATCCCATGGTCCTTGGGGTTGAGCCCCTCTTTGGACTCCCTGCTTGGTGGGGAGCTGCTTTTCCCTCTCCCTCTGCTGCTCCCCCTGATTGTGCTCTCTCGTGCTTTCTCTCTGTCAAATAAATAAATAAATAAAATCTTTTGAAAAAAATCAGAGGGATGAGGAGCCTCAGTGTAACCATGAGACATTAAGTGCAACATAGGGGCCAAATTTTTTCCAATGGGTCACATTCATTTCTGGCCCCTTGGCAGCCCTTTCCATTCCCCTGTTCTCCCACTGGACCGGAGGGCTAAGTAAAGAGTCAGCGTTGTTTTGGCACAAAGGCACATGCTGGTCAAAAATGGAAAGGCAGGGGGAACTCCTTTAGTCAATTTATGGAGGCCCTAGTGTGCCAGACACCACGCTGAATGCTAGGTTTCCAGCCTTTTATTCTCGGCCAGGAAAACATAGATGGGAACAAGGGGTTGGGATGGGGGAATAAAGGTCACCTTCCTTTTAGTCAGGAGGGCTTCCTAGAGCAGGAGGGCTTCCTAGAGCAGGAGGGTTTCCAGAAATTGCTTGAAGTCTAGAAGAGAAATGGTATGTGTTGCTTCGTGGGGACATAGGAGTTAAGAAGAGGGTCTGAAGGGGCAGGATTGGGGAGAAATGAGATTGGTGAGTAGTGGATGCTGGGAGCAAAGTTCATGGGACTGCTGGGGCTCCACAGGAACTGGTTGGACAGACTCTAACCCCTGAATACCAGGGCTCTAGTGTTGGACCATTTGCTGTGGGTGGGCCCTTTGCCAGGTTGTCAGGCAGGAGGAAGAGGATGATTTTCCTGTTGACAACCATCAACAAAAGCATACTGACCAAAAGCTGGCAAAATTCTTGCGCTCCCTTTTCTCACTTAATGGCTACAAAATCCCTCTAAGGCATAAAACAGAGGCTCACAAAAGGAGGGTCGCCACCTTTTTTTAAAAAGATTATTTATTTATTTATTTTTGAGAGAGAGAGAGAGAGAGAGAGAGAGAGAGAGAACACAGGCAGGGGGAGTGGGAGAAGGAGAAGCCGGCTCCCTGCAGAGCAGGGAACCTGATGCGGGGCTTGATCCCAGGACCCTGGGATCATGACCTGAGCTGAAGGCAGAGGCCTAACAACTGAGCTACCCAGGGGCCCCAGGAGGGTCCCTTAACAAAGAAGTGGAGCTAGGGGACCGGGCCCCAGGTCTCCAGGAAGCCAGGTCCCCCCCGCCCCCGATCATTGCCCCATATCATAAGTTAGGAAAACAGTAGGCCTGAAGTGTGTACTGTTTGATTGCCTGGAAAACTAACCAGGCTTACAGGCCTATTGTGAAAAGACATGGGACATCCTCACCAGGCAGGACTGAGCAAAACAAAACTTGACTTTGAGGCCCTTGGCAGGGGTAGGAAGAAGAAAGATTGTTCTGAGAGGCAGAAGAGCTGGGTTCCAGCTAGTCTGGGTCTCTTGCTTGTAGGAGTCATTAAATCTCTCTAAACCTGTTTCCTCTTCTGTAAAATGGGAATAACAGCACCTGCCTCCAAGGGATGATGTGAGGACTCAACAAGATAATGGATGCAGAGTGCTTAACACAGTACAGGGCACCTAGTGAGAGCTCAGTACTCCTTTTATTTTATTATTCTTATTTTTAATTCGAGGAGGTTGGGCTGCATGGTAGCTCTCTCAGGGCCTGGCACCTGTGGCCTGAGCCCTGGTGCCCACACATTAAGCTGGGGCTCTCCACTCTTGAGGGGCTCCCAATCCAGCATCAAGGAGTCCCAGGTTGTGCCACTGTCATCTCCTCATCCGCCTAGCTATGCATCTAGTCAGACCACATGGCTCATAAGAAGGTGCTGTGCTCTCTTCATTCTGCCAGTTAATACTAAGGAAGGCCCGGGAGAGAGAGGGGAGCGCTTTGAAAGTCTTTTTTTTTTTTTTTTTAAAGATTTTATTTATTTATTTGAGAGAGAATGAGAGATAGAGAGCACGAGAGGGAAGAGGGTCAGAGGGTCAGAGGGAGAAGCAGACTCCCTGCTGAGCAGGGAGCCCGATGTGGGACTCGATCCCGGGACTCCAGGCTCATGACCTGAGCCGAAGGCAGTCGCTTAACCAACTGAGCCACCCAGGCGCCCATCGCTTTGAAAGTCTTATTGATTTGAGCAGAAATTGCCTTTAAGCACCTACAGAGGTGAAAGAGAGGAGGTGAGCCGTCAGGAATCCAGGCCACTGCTCTCTTCTTGCCAGCGTCCACATTTTCCTTTCGGTCCCTAAGGGTGTGCGCCCATGACAAATATGGCTGCGGCAGCCTCGGGCGCGGGCACCTGCCGGGGCGCGGTCCCGGGAGCCGCGCGGAGCCAATCGCCGGCTGGGGGTGGAGGGAGAGGCTGGGGAAGCCGCCGGCGGGGAGCGCGCAGGCGCACTGACTCGCACCTGGCTCCAGGCAGCCGCAGGATTAGGCTTCGCCTGCCACTGTATCGGTGAGGGGCTGGTCAGCGGCCCGGGCGCGGGGGCAGGAGCGGGCCGGACTGGGGGCCAATCAGACACAAAGGACGGACCCGAGGGGGACAGGAATGCTGTCGGCTCTGGGAGTCCTGGTGGCTGTCTGCGGGGGGTCCTTGAGGTGATCAGGTTGTGGGTTGGGAGAGCCCTTGGGTCCGGATGGGAGAAGCTTGGGCTCAAGGGGTGAGGGTGGAATTCTTGCCGAAGGGCTCCCTGGGGGGCTGGGGTCGCGGGATGTCTCAGGCCGGGATCCATTTCATTAACATGATGGCCCTTAACCCTGGTGGCGTAGTAGAACCACTTGGGGAGCTTTAAAAGAACACCGACCCTGGGCCCCACCCCCCGAAAATTCCGATTAATTGGTCAGGAGTGAGGCCCGGGCCTCGGTATTGAGCAACTCCTCAGGTGATTTTAATGTACAGACGGGTTGAAGAACCACATGTTTCAGCGCCAGCTATTGAGTAAAGAGCTCCTGGGTTAGCCCCAGACTCCTCAGTGGCTTGGGAGGGGCGGGTGGTCCCAGAGTGAAGTCGCTGACCCTCCAGTGCTGTGGGGGAGGGAGAGGGGGAAGGTCCCTCCCCCAGGAAGGTGAAGGTTCCATTTCCAGCGTGAGGAGGAGGATAGGCCTATTATTATTTGGAATGGAGAGTCCCCCCCCCCCCGCCCCGCCTCCGCCAACACACCGCCCACGCCAGGGGAGGCGCTCTTGCCAGGACTGGAAGCTGCTGTGGGGAGGGAGACTGGGCAGGGAGACGAGCAAGGCGGCTGTGAAACAGGAAAGGCAGCAGACAGTTCAGAGGTCAGCTGCTTGTTGAGAAAAGGACACACCTAATATTTGTGCAGGGTCTTACACCTTTCAATTTCATTTGATACTCCTGAGGACCGGTAGAGATTGGAATTGTTTTCTCCTGCTTCACAGATGTAGGAATAAACTCAGCTAGTTAGTAGTGATAATGTTCAGACTTGACTCAGGGCCCCCAACTCCAAATTATGCTTATTAGTAGCTTTTTCTCTCTGCACTAAACTTCACATACAAGCGCTAGTACTTTTTTTTTTTTAGATTTTATTTATAGCTGCTAGTCCTTTTGAAGGGAATCAACATCCACCCTCCTGATGCCCCTCACTCTAGGGGTCCAGTCTGGCATTCTTGGTTTCCTCCACCAAATCCACCAGCCCGCAGCCGCTATAGTTTGGTTCAGAAATCAGGGAGATGCTACTGTTTCCATCCTTTCTAGTTCATCTTCCAGAAGCCTGATGGGTCAAGAAGAGAGAGTTTTTATGCCAGGGGATTCTTTCCAAACAGATCTGGTTCTGTCACCTCACCATCCCCCCAGTGCCCCCCATCCCATTGTCCTCAGGATAGAATCTTGTGTGTGATTTACAAAACCCTTCCTGATCTTTCTACCTCCTTGCCCTGAGCTCTCTTTCCATATTGTATCTGCTTTCCTTAGCACATGGTACAAGCTTAATAAATGTGACCTTTTGTTACCACTCTTCCTCTTTGTGCACCTGTTGCCTGCTGTACATGTTTTATTCAGCAGGGCACATCAAGGTTCCCCTGGTTGCCTCTTTCTGAGTCCCACAGCCAAGCAGAGCTGAGGGGCACAGTGGAGGATTTGGGGGTGGCAATCCTAGGGCTGCTACTCTTCCCTAGTTCTGGGGATACCCATATTGGCCTTTTAGGGACAAATTGACTCAGCAGGCATTAATTGAGCACCTACTGTGTGGTGAAGGAGCCTGGTGGAAGCAGGGAGTAGAAAACTGGGGTCTGACCTGGTGCTGCTCTTAACAGAGCTTGGGTGCTGGAGGGTAAGGGAGGCATTTGGACCCGGATAAAGGAGCCAAGGGACCTGAGAGGGGAGAGAACACCTGCCTAGGTGTACTCAGGCTTGTGCCACTGAACTGAGCCTTGAATCAGCAGGATTTGATAAGATGGTGGTGGGGTTAGGCATAGTGACATGAGAAATGCTGAGATATTTTAGTCAAAAACACCGGTTCTGAATCTTTGCTCCAGCCCCTAATAGCTCTGTGATTTATTTAACCTTCAGAGCCTTGGTTTCTTCGTTTATAAAATGAGATGGAAATAGTAACAAGAGTTGTAAGGATTCTTGATGGATGTAAAAGCCAGACATACCCAGATGCCTGAGAAATGATATGTAGTTACATCTATTTTAAGTGGAAGGAACAGCATGAACAAAGGTGTGGAGGTGGCATTTAAAAGAGAATTTGAGGGATGGCAGGATATACCAGGCAGCAAGAGGCATCAGTGTTGGGTGCTGGAGAGACCACTTCATCATGGCTTTGACAGAAGGGGACACTGACTGAAACCCTTTAAAGATCACAAAACCAAACTTGAGAGACACGAAAAAGAATAACAGTAGCTACTCTTCGTTGAGGATCTCCTATGTGCCAGGCACTGTGCTTGGGGCTTTATGTACCTTTTGTGTTTCAGTCCTGCAGCAATCCAAGAGGTTGGCATCATCCCCACTTTATACATGAAGAGACCAAGGCCCAGGGAGAAGGAAAGGCTGGCTCAAAGCCACATAACTGGGACCATCCCAGCACGAGAGCGGGGTGACCTCTAGCAGGCTGTCCTGCCAGGTGCCAAGGTGGGGGTGGAGTTGGCTGGGTTACAGGGTATTTCACCCGGGTTATGCAACTAGGTTGGTGTGGGTTCTAAGCTGTTCCTCCCCTGGAGAGGCAGGGTTGCTGTTTTTTGCTGGGGCGTATTGAGGGTGGGAGGGTGAGTAGGGGAAGGCATTTCCTGAGGGAGGAGCGGAATCTGGAAGAGTGTGACCCTGCACACTCCTCCCCCAGCCCCCTCTCCTGGGCAGAGGCTCACCTGGACAGGTCACTCTGCCTCTGGCCCTGGCTTGTGGTGGGGGCTTGTATCTGGCTCTCCTGAACTGTGCATGTGTTCCTGCTACTTGTAGACTCTCCTCTTTTGACTTAGCCTCGGGTGCCCTGTCTTGTCTCTCAAATTCCCTTACCGTGGGAAGAGGCCGGATTACCAGGATATTCCCCTGCTCCTACTCCAATCTTTTAATAGTGAGCCCAAGAAGAAGCCCGTTTCTGAACATCTTTCATGTAACAGTGCTCTGGGCTCCTGGGCATTAGTTTAGTCCTCCCTGCATTCCTTTAAAGGATGGGCATTATTATTCCCATTCTACAGGTGAAGAAACCAAGGCTCAGGCAGGTTAAGTGATTTGCCTGAGGTTACATTCGTAGTAGGAAGTGCAGGTGGGATTTAAACCCAGCCTCTCCTGATGGCAAAAGTCACACCCTTCCCATGTCCCCGCCCTCTGAGGTTTTCTGCTATTACCTCAGCACCGGTGCAGGGAGCCAGCTGGTAGAGGCTGGGGACTTGCCTGCAGGGCTCACCTTCTCCAGCAACCAGGAAAGGTCACTGGACATCTGGGTGGGGGCCTGGGACACTTCACTCCCTTTGGACAAAGGCTTTGGAAGTGAGGTGGTGGCACGGGTGGGGGGTCTGAAAGGCCCTGGGGAATCTGAGAAAGTGAGCGGGGTTAAGGATAGCAACAGAGGTATACGTTGTGCTTTACAGCCCCAAAGCACCTTTAGATTAATACTCACCCCATCCTTGTGTGGTGGGTTTGGAGGGTCTGAGAGGCTCAACAGCAGTAATCTCTGAAGTTTGAGTGTCCACTACACTTAGGTGCTAAGTGCTTGAGAGTATTTTCCCCTTGACTGCTAACAATAGTCTTAGGAAGGTTGGTGCCATATCGCAGATCAAGAAACAGACATAGAGAGGTTAAGCAAATTCCCCCAGTTCACACAGGTAGGAAATGGTACAGGCAGGACTTAGAAGGCCCCCAGTTGTGTTTTCTTTCCACTATGTTCCTTAGAAAGTGCCAGGGAAACTTTTAGGGTGATGGATATGTTCATGATCTTCACCGTGGTGATGGTTTCCCAGGTGCATGTATATGTTAAAACTGATCAGACAGTACACTTTGAATATATGCAGATCATTGTGTGTCTGCTATACCTCAATAAAGCTATGGGGGAAAAAAAGTATTTCCCACCAAATGTTCCTTCAGGGGCTCAAGGGCTCCAGGGAGAGGCTAGCTGTCCATCCTCCTGCTTTGGGGCAAGGTAGGATCACTGTAGCCTGGGAGAGATTCTCACAGACTTAGCGGCTGGTTTCGGGTTTTCTAGCTGCTTCTCCTTCCCTCATTCCCTAGCACTAGGCATAGACTGGCACCAGGTTGGATCTCTTGAGTGAATTGTCCTCATTTTCCAATGAGCCTGAGAGATCCCACTGAGATTCCCTTCTTTCCCCCCCTCTCAGGGCCTGTTTTTCTACCAGAGAGTGGCCGTGTCCAGCCCACCCTCCCCGAGGGAGATGGAGGGCAAAGATGCAGGCTCTGCCCTGAGAAACCCCACAGTCAGGTTGTTGTGGGGGCAGGCAGGAGAGCCTGTGGTACGGTGGCAGGAGGCAGCAGTGAGGGGCTGGAGAGAGTCTGGACACAGTGCTGGCTCCTGAAGGATGGCGAGATGGGAGGCCATTTCTGGCAGGGGCACTACCAAGGACAAAGGCCTGGCCAGAGGAGAGGTTGGCTTGAAGACCTAGGGGAGGCTGGGCTGGAAGACCTAGGGGAGGCTGGGCTGGACAGAGGCCCTGGAGGGTTGGGCACAGAGCAGGAGCTATAGTGGGTCATGGGGCAAGGACATGTCCTGGGGGTCAACTGCTGTTGGACTTGGGCTGAAGTTGGCTCTCCAGGGCCTGACCATGATAGGAAGCAGAAGTTTCAGCTGTGTGTGTCTGTGTGTGCGTGTGTGTGTGCATGCGTGCACACCAACATGTAGATCACGTCCATGGGCAGGCTTGGGTCACAAGGACTCAGAGAGGAACAGCCCCCGAGGATATGTGTAAGTTTCCTAGGGCTGCTGGAAGAGATTACTGCAAACTGGGTGGCTTAAAACAACAAACTTTATTCACTCACGGTCTGAAACAACTCCAGATGGTCACGCTCCCTCCAGAGGCTCTAGGGAGGAATTCTTCCTTGCTTCCTCCTAGCTTACTGGTGGTTGCCTGCAGTCCTTGGCATTTCTTGGCTTGTAGCTGCATCATTCCAATTTCTGCTTTTGTCCTCACATGGCCACCTTCCTTCTGTGTGTGTCTGTCTCTGCGTATAAATTTCCCTCTCCCTGTAAGGGCCCACCCGAATTCACTTTGATCTCATCTTAACGTGTACATCTGCCCAGATCCTGTTTCCAAATAAGGTCACACTTACAGTTACTGGGGCATAGGGCTTGAGCATATTTTTTTTCTGGAGATACGATTTAACACACAACAGGGAATTTGAGAAAAGGAAATCCTCATAGCTTCCCTCTGGGGGTCAGGCAAGCACACACAGGGTTATTTTTCTGAAAAGAAAACGGCATCTTTGAATCTAAAAAGAGAGACAGGCAGGCTTAATGCCTCACTGCCTAAACTGTGGTCATGGCCCCGTGGTCACCACCTGGGCGCCCTTTTGAGAGCGCTGAATCCTAACTACTAGACCACCAGGGAAGGGCGCCCTTTCGGAAATGCAGAATCTGGTTCCTCCCAGACCTCCTGAGTCAAAATCTGCATTCTGATGACATGCCCACGTAACTTGAAAGCACATTCCAGTTTGAGAAGGCCTGCCCTAAAAATGATCTGACTTTTATTTCCTTCCCTCTCATAGTCGGTCTGTCCTTCCAGCCTCTGTGTATAAGTTAGCCCGGCTGGGAGCTAGGCACCCACACTGTGCTTTGTGCTCTCTTTTCACGTAACATGTTCTTGAGTTTCTCTTCTGTGTGTTAAGGTGGGCCACAGGCTTGCTTCTTCTGGAGAGCATCGGCCTTGCTGAGACTGCCCCTTTGTTTCGTTCTTGGGCCGTGTCCGACTTTTTGCTGTTTATTACTGTTGCTGCCATGAATGTCTCTGTACATGTTCCTTTGGGGTTCGTTTCTTGAGGTGGAATTTCCAGAATCAAAATGCATGAGTGGTTGTGGACTCTATCACTCTTATATACCTATGGAACCTGACATCATAGCAACTTTCTTTGCTCTACCCAACAGTGCGTAGGAACCTGGTTTAGAAGGTCAAGTGGCAGAAAAGGCTTTAGAACCAGACAGACCAGGGATCAAATCTCCTACTTTTTTGCTGTATAACATTGGGCAAATTACTTAACATCTTTGAGCTTGGGATTGCTCTCTTTTCACAAGGTAATAGTGCTATAAATTTTGTAGGGATTTTATAAAGATAATCATGACACCACCACCATCCATTTATTGAGCACTTTCCGTGAGTTACCTCACTTGATCCTTACATTCCTCTGCGGGGTAGGCATGATCATCCCTTTTTTCCATTTACAGAAGAGGAAACTGAGGCTTGGGTTAAGTAGCTTGCCGAGGTTATAGGGGCATTGTATGCCCACGCCCACAGTTGGCATGTCCAGATGGTTAAGGTTTTTGTGATAAGATAGTGTGGATGAAAGAAGATACTGAGCACACTGCTCTAGCACACGACCTGGCTTAGCACTCGTTGGATGCCTGCCTTCTTTTCCCATGCCTTTATCAGTTTTCTTGGGTTATTCTCAGATAGTGGTATCCAGTCCAGCACTGTTTCAGTTGTATGTCATTGATGATTCCCTAGCTTCGTTTTGCGTACAAACTTTGTCCCAGTGGAAATGAGGTTTTTTTTTTTTTTAAGATTTATTCATTTGAGAGAGAGTGCACAAACAGGGGGGTGGAGGGGAGGGGAGAGGGGGAAGCAGACTTCCCACTGAGCAGGGAGCCTGACGTGGGTCTCAATCCCAGGACCCTGAGATCATGACCTGAGCCAAAGGCAGATGCTCAACCGACTGAGCCACCCAGGTGCCCCCAGAAATGAGTTTTTATTTTTATTTTTTTAATATTTTATTTATTTGACACAGAGAGAGGCACAGCGAGAGCAGGAACACAAGCAGGGGAAGTGCGAGAGGGAGAAGCAGGCTTCCCGCTGAGCAAGGAGCCTGATGCGGGGCTTGATCACAGGACCCTGGGATCATGACCTGAGCTGAAGGCAGACGCTGAACGACTGAGTGACCCAGCCGCCCCAGAAATCAGTTTTTAAATGATTCAGAGGTCTGGGGTTAGGAGCAGAGCTGGCTCTGATCCCTGCAGCTAACTGGCTACTTCTTCCCTAGGGACAAGGATGGCCAGACTGCTCTTGGATGTGAGCACTCCTCGGTGCTCCTGGGGCTGACGCCGAGCTGGCAGCCATGGGGCTGGGCAGGCTCCAGGCCTGGATGCTGCGCCTTCCTACGGCTGTGGTTTATGGCTCCCTGGCTCTCTTCATCTCTATCCTGCATAATGTGTTCCTACTTTACTATGTGGACACCTTTGTCTCAGTGTACAAGATCAACAAAGCTGCCTTCTGGGTTGGAGAGGTAGGCCAGCACTGCGGGGGAGCTGGGCAGGTTGCACGGGTGGGTCCCACCTAGTCCGGAGCAGGGGCAGGCCAGGTTGCCCACCGTGATTCGGCAAGAAAAGCTGGAGCTGGAGGTGTTGATGACTCCTCCTTCTGGCCACTGTCTGATGAGCCTGGCATGGTTCTAGATATTCACATATATGATAAAATATATTCACGTACATTAATTTATCAGCTGGATAAATTTGTCCTGGATGGGTGGGAGTTTGATGGGGCAGTGGCTGGTGGAGTGAGTTTTAGCAGAGGGACTGCCCTGAGCAAAGGTTTGCAGTCAGGAAAGCTGGGCTCATCTTTGAGGGGTGGCGAACAGGCTGGGTAGGGAAAACTCTGGAGAGGAGGCTGCCTGGAGCCCACCTGCCCCATTTCCCTCTGCCCACAGACGGTGTTTCTCCTCTGGAACAGCCTCAACGACCCCCTCTTCGGCTGGCTGAGTGACCGTCAGTTCCTCAGCTCCCAGCCCCGGTTTGTGTCCTGGGGATGGCTCACAATGGGTCCCGTCCCACCCCACCCCTCCCCAGGGGTGCCTGTGTTTGGGGTGGGGAGAGAAAGGGAGACCATTTCAGCTTTTGGCCAGGCTCCCTCCCTTCTCAAGGTCAGGCAGGTGGGAGAAGTGGCCTTGATTAACTGTTGCCTTGCTCACCTGGGGAGAGATTCACCCCAACTTGGTTTGTCAGGTCCTCAGAACTGGGAGCTGTACAGCAGACCCTCTCTGCTGCTTCTGGCAGATTCCTTGACCCCATCCCTGCTTGGGCCCAACACTGCCCCCAACCCTGAGAAATAGGTATCCCACCACCCTTTGCCCATCAGCCTTGGCAGGCTGGCAAGGGAGCGGACGAGAGCGTATACTCCCTGGTGAGTTGTGCTTCCTAAGTGAAAGGCTGAGGACGCGGGGCTCAGTGGTCTCACTCTGCTGTGAGTCCCATATTCTAGGCCTCTGTCCTTCCTTCGGGGCCTGGGCAGAGGGGGAACTGGGGCTTGCCCAGTTGGTAAAAGCCGCTCCCACCTTTCCTCCTGTCCTTGGCAGGTCGGGCGCTGGGCTCTCCTCGAGGGCCGTGGTGCTGGCACGGGTGCGGGCCCTGGGCTGGCACGGGCCGCTGCTGGCGCTGTCGTTCCTGGCATTCTGGGTGCCCTGGGCACCAGCTGGTCTGCAGTTCTTGCTGTGCCTCTGCCTCTATGATGGCTTCCTGACGCTCGTGGACCTGCACCATCATGCCTTGCTGGCTGACCTGGCCCTCTCTGCCCACGACCGTACCCACCTCAACTTCTACTGCTCCCTCTTCAGTGCGGCTGGCTCCCTCTCTGTCTTTGCCTCCTATGCCTTCTGGAACAAGGAAGACTTCTCTTCCTTCCGCGCCTTCTGTGTGGCCCTGGCCACCGGCTCTGGGCTGGGCTTTATGGGGGCTGCACGGCTGCTTGGGCGGCAGGTTGAGGCGGCTGGCAGGGAGCCTGAGTGCCCAGCCCTGGCTGTGAATGGCGGGTGAGTGGCCTGGCCCAGCTCTCCGGGTTTCCCCCAGCATGGAGTCCCCTGGCCGATGGGCGGCTGCCCTGGGGTGGTGGATGGCTCTGGCCCAGCCCTAGGCTATCAGTGACTCCCCTCTGCCCTGTAGCCTGTGTGGAGAGGAGCTGCTTACCGGCTGCCAGGACGCAGATAGCATCACTTTGAGCCAGTACCTCCAGCAGCTCGCACGCCACCGGAACTTCCTGTGGTTCGTGGGCATGGACCTGGTGCAGGTATGGGAGCAGCACCCCCGCCCCCGATGGCCAGGATGTGCCTCACTCAGGGGAACAGGCTCCTTAAAAGCTGGGCCTCATGTGAGCACTGCTGGGTGATTTGCTAGCGGGAACACAGGTTGGGTAGTTGGGAGAGCTGGATTCTAGCACCATCAGAACTCCTCACTCCCTGTGTGATCTTAGGCAGGTCTCTCGGGGCAGCTGTGTCTTCACCTGCAAAGGGAGGCTATGAAAAAGAGGTGCCCTTTGGGAACTTTGTGACAATCTTTTTAAAACACTAAATGCTGTGCCTAAAACACATGTAGTATGTGAGCTTGCCAAGTTCAGAAATAGATGGTGTTTATATCATCAAGCTTGTTTTACTAGTGTTTTCAATTAAAGAGAGGAAAACTTAATCATTCAATTTGACGATTTTATCCTTCCTTCTACCTTTTAGCAAAATTAGATAAGCAACAGGAATTTGGTGTTGGGTGTTATTCTGGCATGTTCCGTGTGGAGGGACGTGGGGTTAAAGTCTGCTCTTGCTCCCGCCGCTCCCCGGTTGGCTTCCGGCCTGCTCCCAGCTGCCCTCCAGCCCAGCAGCCTCCTCATTGCCCCTGTTGGGTTGCAGGTCTTTCACTGCCACTTCAACAGCAACTTCTTCCCCCTCTTCCTGGAGCATCTGTTGTCAGACCACATCTCCCTCTCCACGGGCTCCTTTCTGCTGGGTGAGTGGGTGCTGCAGGCAGCCGCCCAGCTGCAGGCACAGCTCCCTCCCCAGCCGGGCCCTGTTGCCAGGGGTGGGGGTGGGGGGGGAGCTGCGGCGGGGGGCAGGGGGGTTACGCTGCTTCGCTTCGGGCTTGCCCCTCCAGCCTCAGCTGTGCTGTGGGAGGAAGGGGTGAGAGCCCACTGCACTGTGAGGAGGGTAGGGCTGCTCTCCTGGTGGTCTCCATGATGGTGCCCCCAGAGGTGAGGCGGCACAGTGGCCGGTTCACAGCAGGGCTGACGGGGCTGTCGGGCTTGGCTGTGCGTCTTGACTCTTATTTACTGTGTGGCCTTGGTTGTGTTTTCTTTAATCTCTTTGGGCCTCCGTTTATCACCCGAAAGGTAGGGATAATAACAGGACTGATCCTAAAGGGTGGTGAGGATGAAATGACAGGATGTGAAGCTCATAGCACAGAGCCTGGCACGTCGTGAGTGTGCAATCCCTGTCACGCCGTTGGTTGGTGTGGAGAGCTGTGGAAGCTGTGGCAGTGCCCCCTCACAAGGCTGCCCCCTTCTGTCCAGGCATCTCCTATGTGGCCCCCCACCTCAACAACCTCTACTTCCTGCCCTTGTGCCGGCGCTGGGGCGTCTACGCCGTGGTGCGGGGGCTCTTCCTGCTCAAGCTGGGCCTGAGCCTGCTCATGCTGTTGGCCGGCCCCGACCGCCCTGGCCTCCTCTGCCTCTTCATTGCCAGGTATGCGCTGCCCTCCCTCACCCCCGCACCTCTGCTCCACCCCTTCACTCTTGCCCCCTCTCTCTTCGCTGGCAGCAACCGTGTCTTCACGGAGGGCACCTGTAAGCTGTTGACTTTGGTGGTGACTGACCTGGTGGATGAGGACCTGGTGCTGAACCACCGCAAGCAGGCGGCCTCGGCTCTTCTCTTTGGCATGGTGGCCCTGGTGACCAAGCCAGGCCAGACCTTTGCTCCGCTGCTGGGCACCTGGCTGCTGTGCTTCTACACAGGTGAGGGCCTGGGGGCTGGCACCGGGCTCCTGAGGCTCCGGGGGTCAAAGCTACAAGCTGGATCCAGTAAGTGGGAGAGAATGGCAACTGGCCAGCAGAGGCTGTTCCTGGGCCCCACCTCCTCTGCCTCTTCCCACGTGGGCGGAGGAACTGAGTCTCCAATTCTTCCCGTCTTTCAGTGGTTCGTTCGTTCATTCATTCATTCATTCAACAAACGTGTATAGAATACTTTCATTGCCAGGAGCTGCTCCAGGTCCCTTTAGGGAGGTAACAATGGTTTTGCCATCGTGGAACTTATATTCTAGTTAGAGGGATGGGTGGGGTTGGCAATAAAGAGCCGAACAAGAAAATAGCAATGGTAGTGGGAAGAGCGATGGTAAAATAGGCAGTGTGACTGAGAAGCTACTTAGTGTGTGTGGTCCAGGAAGGCCTCTCTGAGGAGATGACACCCAGGATGTGGACTGGATGGCAAGAATCTGGTCTCGAAAGATCTCAGTGAATTCCAGACAGGATCGGGGCGGGGGGGCAAGTACAGAGCCCCAAGGTATCAGGAGTGGCTAGGAGATGAGGCTGGGGCAGCAGAGGGCTCTGTCCATTAGGGCAGGGTTTGGATTTTATTCTCAGTGTGGAGAGAAACTATTGCAAGGGTTTTAAGCAGGGCAGTGACATGGTCTGATCTGGGTTTTTCAGTTCACCCTGATTGCTGTATGGAGAATGGGCTGTGGGGAGGCTGTGGCAGAAGCCATGGAAGCTTGAGCAGGTGGAGCCAGGGGGACTGGAAAAGTGTCTGGGTGTGGCATGTGTTCTGGAATTCGGGGGAGGGGAAGGACTGGCTGCTGGGGAGTGGTGAGGTTAACCGAAGAATCCAGGAAGACTTTGAGTCTATGGTGTGGATAGTGGTGCCAGTCACCCAGAAGGGAAGCACAGGGGAGAAGCAAGTTTGGAGAAGGAAGTGAGTTGTGGTTTAGAAATGTATGCATGTCGTTTGAGATGTGGCACTGCGGACCTTGGAGGAGACCAGGGCTGACCCTGTTCTTTCTGCATGCTCTCTCACCCTAGGTCATGATCTCTTCCAGCAGCCCCCACTGACCCCTGTGGGGAGTGCCCAGCCCTGGCCAGAGCCCCCGGCCCCAGCCCCAGCCCAGGCCCCAACACTCCGCCAGGGCTGCTTCTACCTGCTGGTGCTGGTGCCCATCACCTGTGCTCTGCTGCAGCTGTTCACTTGGTCCCAGTTCACACTGCACGGGAGACGCCTGCACATGGTCAAAGCCCAGCGCCAGAACCTATCACGGGCCCAAACCCTGGATGTTAAGATGGTGTGAGAGGCAGGTACAGCAAGGCCACCCTGCCGAGGACACTGTCGCAGCCCTGGGGCAGGAGCCGCTTCTGCCAGCCCCCCGTCCTGCTCCTCTGCCTCCCTGGGGCACAGCCTGGAGGACAGATGGCAGAGTGTGAGCTTCAGGGGCTGAGCCGGGAGCATCACTGCGGTCTAAGTTCAGCTTGGCTGTCTGGCCCAGCTGGGGCAGGGGCTGGGCTGTATGTGCTCAGGGATCTGCTTCCCTGCCGTGGGGCAGGAGGAAGAAGAGGACCAAGACGGGGTGGGGCTGCCCTGTGATCACATGGGGGTGCTGCAGGGCATGAAGGCCTGTCCCACCACCTGCTTGGGGCCGGTGCTGTGTATGGGCTCAGAAGCCACTTTCACCCACTCAGGGGAAGCTGTGAGTCCCACCGCCCCCTCCCTCCACATTTCCAGTGGTTTCTCTGACCTCTCTGCTTCAGTTGTGCCTAAAGTATTGTGCCCCAGCTGCTGCAGGGCTCCCCCACCCCCACCTGACCTCTCAAAGAGGTTCATGTCATCACAGACTGATTAAAGTCAGTTATTTCTGTTCCCGTTCTGGAGGTCTGTGCTATGTGTAGAAGTGGTGGGTTGGCGGGGTTGGGGAACAGGATTCCTCACTTAATAGGAAAAGCACCCTGAGAACATTCTTCTGCAGATGAATTGGTGGGGGTGGGGGGTCACCCTCATCAGAGTCACTGAGGTAGCAGGGAGGGCGTGCAGACCAGTGGCTGGCTGCATGGGCATTTGTGAGCAAAATGACTTGCTGGCCTGTGGTCATGTCCTGGTGCATTTCCCATACACCACTGCCAGACATGGTGAGCGAGGAAAAGCAGCCACTTCCAAGAGGTCTTCAACCCTGGAGTCACTGGGAGCTTTCAAAAATGCTGATTATCTTGAATTCTCTTCCCCAAGATTATGCTGTCATGGGTTCTAGGCTATGGCCTGCGCATGGAGGTTTTGGGAAGCTCTGTGATTTTACTGTGCAGCTGGGATAGAACACCTGTGCTCTCGGCCGGCATTTCTCAACCTGGAGACATTCGGAGCCGGGTAGTCCGTTGTTGCGAATATTTAAAGCAGCATCCCTGGCCTCTGCCTAGATGACAGTAGCATTTCCCTACAGTTGTGACAACTAAATGTCCCCAGACATTGCCAGATGCGTCCCACTTGATTGGGACCTACTGCTCAAGGCCAGTGGTTTTTGAGGGTCTGTGTAGTGGCTAAAAATTGAGGCTCTAGGGCTATATCGCCTGGGTTCAAATCCTGGCTAATAAAGGGCAGAGCTTTGGGAAATTACATTTTTCTGTGGCTCTAATTCATCTGCAAAATGGATAATAAAAATACTTTGCAGGGTTGTTGGATCAAATAGGTTAACATTTGCAAAGTGCCTGGAAATCCTCCCCTCCCCCAAGTATACAGGTTTAAAATGAAGAACTGATTAGTCAGAATATCGGAGTGTGGGCCCCAGGAACTACGTTTTAAGCTCCAAAGCTTCTTATCCACATGGAAGTTTTGACTTCAGGGATGTCAAGAGGTGCTCCCCTCATTGGAGGTAGTTTCAGTCATAGGTTTTAGTGTATGTGCAGGGCTGGGACCCTCAGTTCCTGAAGTGGGGCTTTGGCATGGACACCCATCTTCTCTGTATCCACTTGACAGGCTGGGCCCCGGGCAAAGGGCTGTCTAAGTCTGGCTGGTACAAGAGTGCCCTCTAGAGGACAGATAAGGCCCAATCACCGCCTCAGATTCAGGGACCGCAGCAACTCTCTTCCCACCCAGCACCAGAGAAAGAGGCCCAGCTGATGCATCTATTGGAACGACTTTATTTAAGTACACTGGGCCCCACCAGGCAACGTGGTTTGTGCAAGGGACAGGCTTGGGCTAGGAGAAGGGAGGTGAGCTGGTTAAGCACACTGCAGTCCGTGGGTCGCCACATCGCTTTCACACACACCTGCTGCTGTGGCCCATACCTGGCAGGGCCTTTGGTCGTTGGACGGCATGGGGGAGAATGCTGCCTGGAATCTGGGATTGGGGCGGGTCTTGGTGTCACAGGTGAGGGTGCCGGTGAAGATCCGCTAGCCCCAGCTTTGCACCATCTGGGTTAAAGAGCCTTTGGACACTGCAAGGCCAGCCCAGTCCAGGGTAGGGACCTGGCCCTTCTGCATCAGGGGAGATGAGCCTGTCAGCTCCTGGCACTCTGGTCTCGCCCCCTCCCTCCTTTACCAGACAAGTCCAAAGTTAAGAATGGCACAAATCAGCCCAGTTGGGGCCTTGTCACCTCTACAACCTAGCCCCCCATGGGGCAGCTAGAGTGGGAAAAGGCAACCTGGTTAATGGTGGCTCTTTCTCCAGTCCTAAGGGCGCTGGATCCCCTATACCCCTTCTTTGCTGGAGGCCTCTGCCAAAGAGTGATTCTACCTCCTTTTGCAAAAAATCCAACTGGCAACCAGCCTGTTGATTCCAGGGCAGTGAGCAAATGGAAGAGGAAGAAAGAAAGAGGCCGGTGGTAGTGACTTTGAATGTAGCCTCTGATCCTAAATAGGCCTGAGGCCTGTGGATACTGTTAGTTCACTATTAGCAGGGGGTGGCGGGGCCCTGGACGCTATGCTAAACTGAGGTGCTGTAAACATTAGTGTGAACAGGGTGACTGGTGGGCAGGAGGCTATGGGCTCCCTCTCCAGTCCCATACTGAACAAACACGTCAATAAATAAAACTGTTTGAAGATGGCATTGCCCAAGGATGGATGAAAAGCAAGTAACAGGGCCTGGGGCCAACAGGCTCCTGAAATTCTCCCGAGACCCCCTGGACAGGGGCTGGGGGTTGGAGCATTCACTCTGCCACCAATCAGAAGTATAGCACTACTCCTGCCTCTTCAAATGCCCAGTGTGGTCCTGGTCCCCAGGTGAGGTTGAGGGCCCCCTGCTGTCTCCTGACCTAAAGTCTCAGTATTAGCTCCTGGAGTGCTTTCCCAGCCTCCCAAACCCAAATTGCAACAAAACCAGACAGAACTCAACTTCGGCCCCAGTCCTCAGTCCATGATCAACTGGCATCGAGAGCAGAAGGACGAGCAAGGGAGGCAGTGGGCCTCAGGGCACCCTGGGGGTGGGATGGGGCCTAGGGTGGGCAGCAGCAAGGTCTCCCGGGATTTACCCTCTCTGTCTCCCTATGGTAGTAAACATAGTCCCACACAGCCAGACAAAGGCCCAGCTGACGAAGGAGTGGAGTTCTCTGCCAGCATTCTTTTCTGTCAGGGGCCAGTTAGTGGTCAACCCTAGGCCTCAGGCCGTTGCCATCATGGGTAGTTCATCGTTCTTTCTGGGCCCTGGGATCCCTGGGCCACACGGCTCTCGCATATGCGCACACATCCGTGTACATACATGCGCACACATTCGTGTACATACACACACACACACACACACACACACCTGGGCCACACGGCTCTCGCATATGTGCACACATTCGTGTACACACACACACACACACGCAGTTCCTCGCAAACACTCCGACTCAAGAAAGCGAGTTTTAAAGTGGAGTTAACTTCAGAGAGAGGTGAAGATGATGTCCCAACATTAGAAGGTTTTCCTGTGGATAGATCGGGCACCGTCTTCCTCATATTCCTTCTTGGAGACCCACATCTTCTTAAAGGTGTCCAGGGAGGCGAGGATGGAGCCCCTGGAGTGGAGGGAATCCCGAGGAACGTTGTGAGAGGGAGAAAGCAGGTATTAGTGTCCCCCTGGGGCCAAAGCAGACAAGGCTTTGCTTTAAAGGGATGGGGTGGTGAGGGGTAACGATGCCCTCACTTCCTGTTCCGCTCTTACTCCCAGGAGAACTACTCACCCAATCCACGTGGAATACAGCCTCTCCTGAGGTGCGGATATCTGAAAGGGTGGGTGGGAAGAGGACTCTGAGACTTTCACCCTCCTTGTCCCTTTCCCGGCCAACGCTCATCTTTACAGCCAATTCCAATGCCCAAGGTAGTGGATGCATCTCACGCAGTGTCCCTGCTGGACCCCGTGGCCTCTCTGGGGGGTACTGTGGCCAGCCTGACATTCATCTGGAGGAGAGTTCCAGCAGCCCTAAGTATCTACAGCTGTCAGGGAAGCTGGAGCTGTCAGTGGACAAGATTCAGCTCTTGGAGGCCAACAGGAAGAAGACTCTGTGGCAAGAATCACACTCCTTCACTTAGCTCCCCTCGGCAAGCACTAAGATGTTGGACTGTGTCACAAGGGAGCACCAGGAGTCAATCTGTCAACGTGACGGTTTCTCTGAAAGACCTCACGCGGGGCCCTCAGCCTAGCAGCCTGCCCCATCAGGGTATCAGAACTGCCCCCTTTTGTTGGAGGGAGAAGGAAAATGGGTTCTCCCCTCTGGCAGACCTCAAGGTCAGTGTGGGAGCTGGGAGCTGTCTAGCCTCAGAGGGGAGGCCTGGTTCCATGCAGCCCCAGCCCTGCCCCCACCATGCTCCTACCCTGATCTTCACGTCTTTTGGAGCCAGTTTCTTCACTTCACTCAGTAGCCTGTCACCGAAGCCTGAATGGGCAGGAAAGGAGAATCTCAAGTCAATCCTCTGGGCATCTGGGCCCAGCCAGATCTGGACACTTCCTTGGCAATGGGTCCTGAGAGCAAAGACCAACCTTTGAACAGGGTGGAGCCTCCTGAGAGGACAATGTTCGAGAAAAGCGTGCGCCGCAGGTCCATATCTGACTTCTGGATGGCAAACACCAGCACCTCGTGGATGCCCTCACTCTCCTCTCCGATCAGGTCTGGCCTGAACAGCAACTCAGGTGCCCGGAATCGGGAAGGACCAATCTGCAGGGTGGTGGGCAAACTCAGAGGCTGGGCCCAGGGCTGAGGTCCCTTTGGGAGTGAGAATGGAAGAGGCCCCTCTGCCCATCTGTTAGTGACCAGGTGGCTAGGAAGGCCAGGCTCAGGGAAGACCTGGTATGTCAAGGGCCTCAATACACCAAGACAAGGCTCTTGGGAATAATCAGGAAAGAAAAAGGGACAAAGAGAGCTCTCGGGAAATTAGAGAAAGCTCTTATGTTTATTCCTAGCTCTGGCACTTTCCAGCCGAGAGACCTTTGGCATTAATACGTGGGTTTATTCATTCATGGAAATTTCTTCCTATTAATGCAGGTCCAGGAAGAGGCAGCTCACCCTATACTGTGCCCAAGTGATTACAAAGAGCACTAACCACCCTCTTCCAAACCCCATCCTGACCTCTGGTGCCTCCTCTCCTCCACACAGGAGAATCAAAGTCCCTGATGCCTCGCTCTGCAGGAGACGATGCTGTTTGAGAGCTCCAGGGCTCCAGGGAGAGGATGTGAAAGGGCTGATGCATATGACTCCAGCCTCCCCCTGGGGAACTGTTGGGGCCCAGAGCTTCTGGGGGGACTGAAGGGAGATCCAGACCTACCTCAATGGTGCTGCCGTCGGGCAGGTAGTACTGAGCCTTCTCTGTCTCTAGAGTCTCATCCTTCTGTGGGTTTATGGACAGGTAGCAGGCTCTCTGCAGAACCGAGCAGGAGTCAGGCAGGCAGGAAACCTAGGCCTACCTGGTCAAAGTCCCAGTGCTGCTGCAGACATCTGCCCATCCACAGTGACTGCCCTGAAGGGCCAAAGAGCTCCTGCCTTGGAGCATAGCAGGGTGGCCTCTGTCGGCCTCCACTGGGTGGCACTTAGGATTCGAGTTCCTACCTCTTCCATCTTCCTTGTGGGCAGGCGTGGAAACTGGCTCTCTGGAGGTGGGTCTGAGACCACAATCTAATTTTAGTCCAGACTTGGGCTTCTTTTTTCTTTCTACTACTCATGGTTCTGGGTCCCATCTACCCAACTCAGGTTGCCCTAGAGGCATGGGTGGCAGGAGGATCTAGTTTACTTAAAAGAAAACTGTATTCTAACTTCTTCAAGGATGTAAAAGAACATATGTAATTTGTACATAAGTTATAAAAACACAATGAACACCAGTATAACCTTCACCCAGCTTAAGAAATAGCAGCAGCTCCCTTTCCCCCACAAGATGGCAGCACTTGGGGACAGTGACTATCAGTGTGAGGGGGCCCAGCTGGGATCACATGGCAGCCAGGAGGCCTGGCTAGGGAGAAAAGAGCCTGACCATAGGACCGCCCTCCCAGGACTGGAGCTTCGCCTCTCTTCATTCCAGGTCACAGAGGTCCTGGCTGCCCCGTTCCCATTCCCCATCCCATCCCTGGGCGCATGGGGGCAGCACTCACTTCTTTTATGGCCTTGACAATCTCAAACTCAGATGATGAGTGGAAATCATAGCCCTCCTTCCGCAGGTAGAGGCGAAGGAAGCGAGACACATCTCGGCCAGCGATGTCGATGCGCATGATTGAGTGGGGCATGGCAAAGCCCTCATAAATGGGCACGGCATGCGTGACACCATCCCCAGAATCCAGCACCACGCCTGTGGTCCTGCCTGTGGCATAACTGAAGCACAGGGAGCAAACGTGTCACTAACGCCCGCCTCCTCACTTGGGGAAGAAACTCACTTTTTTTAGAGTTCAAAGTCAGCTAAACTAACGCTGAGGACTGCCTTTCTCTAGGAACTTTAGACTACGCAGTACTGAGGAAGCCCGAGCGTAAGCAAGCCTGAAAAACCTGGAAAGGAGCTGAGCCTCCCAGAGCGCCTCCCCCACTCCAGAAGAGCAGGCCTTCCAATCTCCGGGGATGGCCTGCCTTTGACTGCTTCAGGAACCCAGCCTATGGGGCAGTTTTTACTTTCTGGACAAGAGGAAAGAACTCAAATGCCTACAGGGGCCACGCAGGAAAGGTAAATGAGTAAAGGAAAATAATATTTTCACTTCCACAAAAAACTTGCTCTTTCCCCACATGGCCTCCTAGATCCTCGGTTGTTGTTGTTTTTCTCTAGCTTTTGGTAAAGACAAGGGTATAGACATATTTCTGTGATACGACGGGGAAAAACCCATGATGTGTGATGAAGCTTGTGCTGGGAGGACAACAGGGAGGAGAATGGGCTATAGCAGAGTGAGGCTTGCAAACTCTACCGGAAATGGCAGCGGTGACTTTCGCTACAGCTGATTTTTGTCCCATCTATAGGAATGCATGCTTAGCACTGGGCGCCTGGGTGGCTCAGTCGTTAAGCGTCTGTCTTCGGCTCAGGTCATGATCCCAGGTTCCTGGGATCAAGTCCCACATCGGGCTCCCTGCTCCACGGGAAGCCTGCTTTTCCCTCTCCCACTCCCCCTGCTTGTGTTCCTGCTCTCACTATCTCTCTCTGTCAAATAAATAAAATCTTTAAAAAAAAGGGGGGGGGGCGCCTGGGTGGCTCAGTCGTTAAGCGTCTGCCTTCGGCTCAGGTCATGATCTCAGGGTCCTGGGATCAAGCCCCGCATCTGGCTCCCTGCTCGGCGGGAAGCCTGCTTCTCCCTCTCCCACTCCCCCTGCTTGTGTTCCCTCTCTCGCTGTGTCTCTCTCTGTCAAATAAATAAAATCTTTAAAAAAAAAAAAAAATGCATGGCTAGCACTGCCAGGTCATCCCTGTTTTTTCAGAAAAGCGAGAAGTTTGGATTTTGATAGAAAATGTCCCAATTTTTTTTTTTTTTTAAGTAGGTTCCATGCCTCATGTGGGGCTTGAACTTATGATCCTGAGATCAAAGGTCACATGTTCTACCAGCTGAGCCAGCCAGGCGCCCTGGAAATCTACTTAAAATGCCAGCTCACAATATTTTAATGGGGTCAAACACATTCTGCCTGCAGGTCACCAGTGTAGAATCTTGGCCCTAGACCTAACCCTGGGATGAGGCAGGCTGGGAGCATGACAGGGATGAATGATAGGGCTGTGAGAACAGGGACCATGTTGTGGTGTTTCCATCACAACTCTATCACCAGCCTGGCATAATGTCTGCACAGCAGGCACTGGATAAACATCTGAACATGTTACAGGGGCCTTTAGGAAGAACTGTAGCAGTGTGTGGCCTTCCCAGCAGGCAGAGCGGAGAACCCTGGGTGCCCAGCCGCCAAGACAAAGAACAAGAGAAGCGAGAATGGGACATGGTCTCAATACTCCCTTTTCGCATCCACAGAATAGGCACCTCCATCCTGCCCTCAAGGGGCCAGGCAGCTACTTACAGGCTGAGCACAGCTTGCATGGAGATGAAAAGGGCTGGCACGTTGAAGGTCTCGAAGAAAACTTCAGCTGCTCGTTCACGGTTTTTCCGCGGGTTTAAAGGCGCCTCCGTCAGGAGCACAGGATGCTGGTGAAAGATGCCAGGGGATCATCAGGGCAAGGCGAGATCTAGACCCCTCAGCAGCACAGAAGCCCCTGTGTGCTGGGCTAGAGCGCTGAGGGGACCTGTGTGAGCCTCTCTCCAAAAAAAGGCAAGCTGGGCCTGCCATCGACCCCTGCACAAGCCAGTCTGTCAAACCTCCAAATTTATGGCCCCTTTACAAGTCTCATTCTGTCCTTGCCTCTGCCCCCTTCCTCCTACCTTGTCCTCCAAGATTCTTACATAGGCCCCTGTATTTACTCTATATCTCTAATTGTCCAGATTTTGCTATACTCTAAATTTGGAATTCTTATGTTAAAAATAATCGTTTAAATTTTTTTTTCAAAATTTAAATTTAAATACTGAAGGTATTTTTGAAAAACAGAACATATCCCTCCTCTGGAAATTCTGATATGTCTAGTATTCACCTTCCCTTGTTTTTGTGCTCTGAAAGTTACTTCCTTAAAAGTTAAGAGTATAAGCTCTGAAGTATGAAAGACATGGGTTTGAGTCTCAGCTCTCCCACTTTATTCCCTAGGTGATCTTAGAAAGGCTACTTGGCTTCCCTGAACTTCTTTCTGTTCCCTTGTTTGTAAAATGGAAATAATACTCTCTGTTGGTCCTAGGACTGGTATGCAGATTAAGGGCAGACCTGTCGGAAGAGCACGTGGCCTGGCACCCCAGTAAGATTCAAATGCTCCCGGCAGTGATCATTCTGCTCCTCCTCATCTCTGGGGCGGTGGCTCTGCACAGCTCTGCACACCCTGCTCACGGGACCCTCACCTCCTCTGAGAAAGTCTGCAGCTGGTCCTTGGAATAGACATACTGCCAGATGCGCTCCATGTCGTTCCAGTCCTTGACAATGCCATGCTCCATGGGGTAGCGGATGGAGAGCAGACCTCGGTGTTCCTGGGGGCAGAGAGCAGGACTTACAGCAGCAGCTAGCCTCTCAGCCAGGAAGCACAGGGGTCCCCGCTCCTCCAGGACTAGGAGTGCCCACCACACCATCCTCACCCAGGGCTAAAGGTAGGCCCCTGTTTGCCACGTCTCTAAACTGTATGCTGCAAACTGTTCTCACTGCCCGATCAGCCAGCAGAGCGGAGGCTTCTGCATTTCCATGGGCCCTCAGTGCCCTTACAGCAAGTGACGGGAGGCACCCTCCTCATAGCCTGATCCCAGGACACAAATCTCCCGGGCTCCCACCTCTGGGCCTCAGTGCTTGCAAGCCGAGGTTGGCAACAATGATTCTGTTGGTCCACTTCTGGAAGCTGCCCCAGGGCTCCTCCAAGCGGTGCTAATTAATTCATCCCCAGGGTCTCCCAGCCAGGATCTCCCCCTGAATCCCTTTTGCCAAAAAAATAACCAAGCTAGCCAATTTGATCAATGGCAAGGTAGTGACAGGATACAGAAGGAAAGCAAAAGCCCTGTTTTCTAGACTGGTCTCTGTTTCTCAAAGTGGGGTTCCAGATATTTCCTCTCTAAAACCAGAGGCTGCTCCTGGGAGAAGTGAACCAACTAAACCTAGGATGAGGGGGCCAAAGGGGATATTTTAAGAGGAAACTGTTCCTTTTACTCATGGCTGTCCCACTGCTGGGACACTGTCCATGCGGGGAATGATGAAGATCCTCTGCTGGCTTGAGGCTTCTTCAGTAGGACTGGGAATTACCTCGGCTTTGGGGCCAATGAAGATGTCACCTTCAAGGGCTCCGGCCATGACACGAACGTGTTTGGGTCTGCCCACACTACGAAAGAGAGAGGGAGGACCATCACTTTTCATTTCACGATAGAACACAGAAGGATGTACAGACGTGCATGCTTAGAGGGAAGAAATAGAAATAGACTCAGTTCTACTGTGATTATCTCTGAGGAGTGAGGTTACTGTTGATTTTGATTTTCTTCTACTTTTCTGCATTGCCTGCAATTTCTACAATGAACATGTATTATTTTAAGTTATTTGTATATTTCATATTTCTGACCCAAATCAGAGATCCTTCTCTGTAAAAGGTGGAGGGCTGACCCCATAACAAAGCTGACAAGCCTCCCAAGCTACAGAATTACTTACTAGTTTGGAAAGCAGTATTTGGGAATCTGATCACCAGCAAAACCAGCTTTAATCACACCGGATCCCTGAGGAGAGAAAGAGAAGTCAGAAGTATGACAAAAACAAGAGATATATATCATACAGTATGTATAATATGGTTTCACTTTTATTTAAAAGAGACCTTATATCTGTATACAACGTGTCCTTTTGTATGAGCGTCTGTAGACGAAATGCATTCTGCCAGGAGGGAAGTGGGACTGGGGATGGTGAGAACTTTCACTATACACTCAAAGTATTACTTGATTTTTTGGTATTCTTTGACTTTTCTACACTGACCATGCTTTACTTCTAGAATCAAAAATAATACTAATAAAGGGAAGAAAAAGAGAAAACCTGAGGGGAGAAAAGTACCTAGAAGCAACAAAGCAGCCAAGTTCAGGAACATAATCAAGGTGGGAAGAACGTGATTCTTTCTGTTAAACCACATGGGACACTATTAACCGACTTTCCCAGCTCAGGCCTGAACTCACCCTGCCCTCCATGGTCTCTAGGACAGACACCACCGTGAACACCGCCATGCTCGAAGCTGACTGATGGAACACACGTTATCTGGTTCATACTGCAGGGGCAAACCTCTATGCTCTGTTGTGGGGTGAGGGTTGTGGTTGTTTTATATTTTTACTATGCTTTTTTTTTTTTACTCACTGGTCTCCTGATGGTAAAGAGCCGGGAAGTTCTAAAGCATCACCTGAGAAGAGACCCAACATTACAATCCTGCTGCTCCAATCCTTGGTAAATTGGGTGGGGTGCCAGAAGAGAATCTGACTTCTCTGTCAACATCTCTGGTGCCACCTAGGGCCCAACCAAAGTAAATGGTGTCTCTAGACACAGATGCCAACTCTGTGCAGGACAGATGTCGAGGCTTGATACTGCCTACAGATAGAGCCTGTTCTCTTCCTTCTTAACTCTTCTACCACCACACCCGATACGCTCACCCTTCCACCCCGACATGGTTTGCAGCTGCACATATAACACAGGCAAACCTTTTCCTGCTGCCTGTTGATCACTTCTCTTGGGGCGGAGAGTGATATTTCCAGAACCCACACAGCAAGCAGTAAACACATCAGGAGATGCTAAATAGCCAAGGTTATCTTTGCACCAAAGGCTTTCCTGCAACATCCCTGGTTTCCTCTGTCTCTTATTCCTGCTCTTCTATAGGAGAAGTGTGTGTGTGTTGGGGGGGGGGCAGTGGTTAGATAGGCCATCCTGATGCCTGACTCTGGCAAGACAGAGGGAGGAGGAAATAGCTAAAGGATAGGGAATGCCCATTCTCTAAGATAGCAGGAACCTCTGCCAACAGAAAAGAGAGAAAACAGGAGACAATGTGCAAACTCATCGGCCTGGGCAGAACAGCAAGGAGCCTGGAAAAGGGGCAGATGTAAACTGAGCTGAGAGCCTGGGAAGGAGGGAGTATGGCTGCAGCCCCAGGGCTCTGGGACAGAGGCACGGGGAGTGAGAACAGCACTGCACAGAAGAACTCCAGAAACTTGTTGGCTCAAGCTTCCGGTAATTGCTCACTGCCTTCATCTGGGTGTGGTGATGCCAACAGACTAACTGGACCTGCTGGCAGAGGTTGAAAACAAGAAAAGAAAAGATGAGACCTGCATTTCAGATTCTAGATATTTTGAAGAGATGATTTTCCTAGATATTTAATTTTGAGTTTACTAGCAAAATCAGACTAGTGTCCGAGTAACAAGGTAAATTAAGATGTTAGGTTCATTTCTTCCTCTCTGTCCTTCCCAGCAAGAGAGTATAAAGACCCACTTCTTCTTCTTCTTCTTCTTTTAATTTATTTGAGAGAGAGAGAGAAAGAGAGAGATCACGAGCATGGGGGAAAGGCAGAGGGAGAAGCAGACTCCCGGCTGAGCAGGCAGGCCGACACCGGACTCAATCCCAGGACCCTGGGATCATGACCTGAGCCAAAGGCAGATGCTTAACTGACTGAGCCACCCAGGCGCTCTAAAGACCCAGTTCTAATGTCACTGCCTTCCTCCTGAACGATAATCCCCTGTTGGAATTAATTATCATCTTCCTATTATTTCACAAAATCACCATTACCTGTACCACTAGGTAGTCTGCATTTCCTTCTGCTATCTATCTGAATTTATGGTTTCCATTTTTGTCTGTTTTCAGCCCAAGTTTCTCAAGCTCAGAGACTTTATGTATCAGCAGTATCCGGCATTTGAAGGTACTCAGATAGATGCTGGCTGCCTAAAATTAAAACCAAGCTCAAATGATTGGTCAATGAAGCCTAAAGTATGGAGCCTGAACAGGCGGCTGGAATGCCAGAAGCTGCAGGCAGAGGTGTGCAGCATTGGGAATGATGCACATGGTGGAACCAGACCCAGCTTGTCTCTGCAGTCCCACGAGCTTGCCTCTGCAGTCCCACGAGCTTGCCTGCCAGGCCAGCAACTGGGTAAAGAGTGAGCGGGATGGGGGAGGCAGCTGAGCTGCTTCTATTCTGCTAAAACCCCACCCCATATAAAGGGGCCTTGTCCATTTCTTTAATAGTATTTGTACCTAGGAACTATGTACCTGGCAAATGAGCTTCCACTCTCTTTGTTATTAACTCTGGCAATGCCAAATAAATAAGTGCCTTGTAGAGAGGCTTCTTGAAAAAGTAGTTTCATAATAAATATTTGAGATCTGAGGACTCAAGTCTGCTGCCAGCCACCAATGACCATTCTCTTTCTGAAGCAGGCAAAAAGTGAATCCCTCAGCCAGGCTCTCCCAGTACCTGCTGACTATGGGCCCGTGGCTTGGGCACCTTTAGCCTAAGTACCCCTGCTTATTCTTGACACGGTGGGAAGGAGGCTAGCTGTCTCCCATTTTACAAGTGGGAAAAAGATGCTGAGAGGTTGAGCCTCAGATTCCAGGACACTGGTGGCCCATTTTGGCACCAAGACATATTTTGTTTGGCCCACAAAATACTTTTTAAAAAACTTTATGGAGGGGCACCTGGGTGGCTCAGTCATTAAGCGTCTGCCTTCGGCTCTGGTCATGATCCCAGGGTCCTGGGATCAAGCCCCGCATTGGGCTCCCTGCTCGGCGGGAAGTCTGCTTCTCCCTCTCCCCCTGCTTGTGTTCCCTCTCTCACTGTGTCTCTGTCAAATAAATAAATAAAATCTTTTTTTTTTTAAGATTTTATTTATTTGACAGAGAGAGACACAGCGAGGGAGGGAACACAAGTATGGGGAGTGGGAGAGGGAGAAGCAGGCTTCCCACCAAGCAGGGAGCCCGATGCGGGGCCCGATCCCAGGACCCTGGGATCATGACCTGAGCCGAAGGCAGACGCTTAACGACTGAGCCACCCAGGCGCCCCTAAATAAATAAAATCTGAAAAAAAAATTTATGGAAATAAAATTCACTACCATATAATTTATCCACTTAAGGTATGTAACTCAATGGTTCTTAGTATAGTCATGGAGTGGTATAATCCTCACCACAGTGAAATGTTAGAACTTCCTCAGCATCCCAGAAACTGTACCCATCAGCACTCTCTATCCTACCTGCCCTCTCCCGCAAGTAGTCCTAGGCAACCACGAATTTATTATCCACCTCTGCAGATGACAAACTACTTTTACATTAACTTCCAACAGTTAAAAATTAGACTGCATATACAATGTATCAATTTTCTGGTTTCTCTTGAAACAACAGAAAATCTGGCAACACTGGGCCTGCATTCCTGCATGGGGGCAACTGGCTGGAAATGAAAAGCAGCTGGTCCTTTGGTCAGACATACTCAGTGCACCTTCCAGAGTCCTCATGCCTTCTTTAAGGCTACTCTCTTCCTCCCCCTTTTTATGTTCCTGCTTGGCCTCTGCAAGCACTGAGTTTGAGACTCCTATTCAAGGCATTCCCAGCAACTAATTCATGATGTTTCCCCTTCCACATGGTACCTGGTTTCTTTCTTACCCTCAGAGCACCCAGCTTGGTATGAAGCACATCCTTGGCTCTCAAAATATACATGATTGAACAGTGAGCTATCTCTGTAAATCACCTCCTTTTCATTCTTTCCAGTAAGCTAGGGATGGATTCTTGCTGAAGTTGGACAACCAACAGGTTGAATATCATATCACAAGTGACAGGGTTAAATAAATATACTGACTTCATTTCCTCAGCTAATTCTAATGTCTCTTAAACTGAAGTAAATCAGGGGCGCCTGGGTGGCTCAGTCGGTTGAGCATCCAACTCTTGACTTCGACCAGGTCCTGATCTCAGGGCTGTGAGACTGAGCCCCACTTCAGGCTCTGAGCTTAGCATGGAGTCTGCTTGAGATTCTCTCTCTCCCTCTGACCCTCCTCCGCTAACACTCACATGTGCTCTCTCTCTCAAAATTAATAAATACATAAAATCTTAAAAAAAAAACCTTAAGTGAATCAGCAGATCTCAAGAGCTGATGACAAGGGGGCCTGAGTGGCTCAGACGGTTAAGCGTCTGCCTTCGGCTCGGGTCGTGATCCCAGGGTCCTGGGATCGAGCCCCACATCAGGCTCCCTGCTCCGTGGGGAGCCTGCTTCTCCCTCTCCCTCTGCCTGCTGCTTCCCCTGCTTGTACACTCTCTCTGTCAAAAATAAATACAATCTTTAAAAAAAAAAAAAGCTGATGACAAATTGTAAAAAAAATAATAAGGGGCGCCTGGGTGGCTCAGTTGGTTAAGCGACTGCCTTCGGCTCAGGTCATGATCTCAGGGTCCTGGGATCAAGTCCCACATCGGGCTCCCTGCTCAGTGGGAGGCCTGCTTCTCCCTCTCCCACTCCCCCTGCTTGTGTTCCCTCTCTCGCTGTCTCTCTGTCAAATAAATAAATAAAATCTTTAAAATAATAATAATAATAAAAAAATTGAGACCATTTGTGAAATTTGAACATTGAATATTTGATGATATTAAGGAATTATTAATTTTTTTAGGTTTGATAATAGTATATTGATTATGGTTTTTTTGAAGATTTTATTTATTTGAGAGAGAGAGCATTTGTGCCATAGAGAGAGCACTAGCTGGGGGAAGGGGTAGAGAGAGAGGGAGAAGCAGACACCCCGAGCAGGGAGCCAGACATGGGGCTCCATCCCAGGACCCCGGGTTCATGACCTGAGCTGAAGGCAGACGCTTAACCGACTGAGCCACCCAGGTGCCCTGATTATATTTTTTAAAGAGCATGGGAAAGGGTCACTGGCTGGCTCAGAACATGCAACTCTTGATCTCAGGGTTGTGAGTTCAAACCCCATATTGGGCATAGAGCTCACTTAAAAAAATAAAGGGGCGCCTGGGTGGGTTAGTCGGCTAATTATCCCACTCTTGATTTAGGCTCAGGTCAGGATCTCAGGGTCGTGAGATTGAGCCTCATGTTGGGCTCCACACTTAGGGTGGAGTCTGCTTGAGATTCTCTCTCTCCCTCTGCCCTCCCCCCTGCTCGTGTGCTCTCTCTCAAATAAATCTTTAAAAAAAAATAAATTTTTAAAAAGTTAAAAAAAAACCCCACAGTATAAGAGAGGGAAGTAGGTGGGAATGCAGTTCAAAAAGATTAGCCAGGAGCTGATAACTGTTACAGCTAGGTGATGTATATGTGGATGTTTGTTACACTATTCCTCTCCTTTTGTTTATGTTTGACATTTTCTATAATAAAAAGAAGAAGTTGGGGTGCCGGGGTGGGGCAGTCGGTTAAGCGTCTGACTCTTGGTTTTGCCTCAGGTTGTGATCTCAAGGTCATGAGATCAAGCCCCGTGTCGGGCTTTGGGCTCAGCACAGTTAGTCTGCTTGCGTTTCCCTCTTCCTCTCCTTCTGCCCCTCCACCCGTTCGTGCTCACTCTCTCAAATAAATAAATCTAAAAAAGAAGAAGAGCTGGCAAATAAGATGATAGCACTTAAGTAAAAATTCAAAACACAAATACTACACACACACACACACACACACACACACACACACACACTATAAAATATCTATGTCTGCAAGTCATGGATGGAAAGGAGCACATCAACTTATGATGACAGTTTGCTTCTGTGGTTACTTCTGGGGTAGGGGGACGGGATGGTGGAGGGGAGCACAACGAGGCTTCGATTATATCTGTAATGTTTATTTCCTAAGAAAAAGTCCTGAAGCAGGGGTGCCTGGGTGGCTCAGTGGGTTAAGTGTCTGCCTTCGGCTCAGGTCATGATCCCAGGGTCCTGGGATCGAGCCCCGCATCGGGCCACCTGCTCAGCTGGGAGCCTGCTTCTCCCTCTCCCTCTTTCTGCAGCTCCCTCCCGCTTGTGCTCTCTCTGTCAAATAAAATAAATTAAAAAAAAAATCCTGAAGCAAATATGGCAAATGTCCACATTTAGTAAATGTGGGTGGTAGACACGTGCTATGTGGGTGCTTGTTATATACTTCTCTGAAATTTCCTGTATGTTAAATACCTTGTTTTTTTAAAAAGGTGGGCTAAAGCAGTTTAAGATCCCCCCAGTGAAACTTACCTAGTTTACTGATGAACTTGAAAAGATCTGACACTATTCCTGCATTTAGGCCCAAATAGTCACGAAGACAGTTTTAAGACTGACCAGAACATTGATCCATTTTAGGACAGAACTTAACCTTTGAGATCTCAGCAAAGACCTGAGCTTCAGAATAAACACAGTATTCTAATCAAAGTGTTATAGTCCTCAAAATGTGGCCTAGGAGCTGCCCTCCTCTTGTATTACTATCTATGACATACCTTTAGGAAGAATGACTTATGTTCAGTTTTTAAAAGTACCTATCACTTTATTGTTGTCATTAGAGTGCGTGCATGTGCACCTCCCCTTCCATTTTCCTCATTAAACTCTCATGAATTGGTTTGGTGCCAGAATAAGAAGAAAGGAGTAGTCAACAATTATTTTAAGTCTGGGAAAGGCTGTGAACTGATAATGAGGCTCTTCCCTCTTTTCCCTGCTTTCTTTGTTCTTCTTTTCTTTTCCTTTCTTTCTTTCTTTCTTTCTTGATTTTATTTATTTATTTGACAGAGAGAGACACAGCGAGAGAGGGAACACAAGCAGGGGGAGTGGGAGAGAGAGAAGCAGGCTTCCGGCTGAGCAGGGAGCCTGATGTGGGGTTCGATCTCAGGATCCTGGGATCATGACCTGAGCCGAAGGCAGATGCTTAACGACTGAGCCACCCAGGTGCCCCCCGCTTTTTAATTATTTATTTATTTATTTGAGAGAGAGAGAGCACGCGCATGTGAACAGGGGAGGAGCAGACAGAGAGAGAGAGAGAACCCTCAAGCAGACTCCCCCTCTGAGCGAGGAGCCCAACTGGGGGCTCGATCTCATGACCCTGCAATCACGCCCTGAACCAAAGTCAAGAGTCATGTAGCTTACCTGACTGAGCCACCTGGGCGCCCCTCTCCTTTCTTTTAATTACACTCTCCTTTGCCCAGAAATAAAGTTGTAGCAATGTGTTAAGCTATGGAGCAGTTAAATCTGCTAGATACACATTATTCTCATAAAGTGGGCTCAAATATTTCAAATGATTTTTCCTATCCATCCTTCACTTTGAAACAAAACAAAATCTCTAAATGTCAAACAGCAAGAACTACCTGAGGTCCCAGATCTAAATATGTGGCAGGTGCTCAGTAAATCCTAATGAGAGAATTTCTCCTACTTCACCTTTTGGCAGAATTACTGGCATAATAAAAGAAACTTTTTCCCAGGGGCGCCTGGGTGGCTCAGTCAGTTAAGTGTCTGCCTTCAGCTCAGGTCATGATCTCAGGGTCCTGGGACTGAGCCCCGCATCGGGCTCCCCGTTCAGCGGGGAGTCTGCTTCTCCCTCTCCCTTAGCCCCTCCCCCCTGCTCCTGCTCTCTCTCGCTCACACTTTCTCTCTCTCTCAAATAAGTAAAATTAAAAAAAAGAAATGTTTTCCCAGAGAAAATAAATCAATTCTTTAAATCTTAAAACTGAAAATGCACCTCTGCTTTGATGCATTTCAAATACACTATGGAGAAAGAGAAAGGAGAAACTAAAAAGCATTAGCTTAAGTGACATTAAAGAAAATGGCTGGAGATGGAACTCCTGCCCCCAAATTCCAGAATCAAAGGATCTAATGGGATGGATAGATTGCTGCTTCTGCATTGCTGATGAAAACAGGAAATTGTTAATTTCTATTTTTTTCTTTTTAAAATTAAGAAAAATGCAGATGAAGTACATACAAGTTGGTTGAAGATAGAAACAGTGTTCTCTGAAAATCGAATCAAGAACAAGATCTATTCAGCCCTCTGCAGTAACTAACTAGGAGTCTCTCCCCACTTCAGTCCTTTCCTTATTTAAAGACATCTTTGTTACTGTGATATTTGGTCACTCATCCACCCGCCCATCAGTACAATGAAAAAACAATTACTGAGCACACAGTGGTGCCAGGCTGTAGGTGCTATATGTGTGAAGGAAGGTGGGAAGGGGAGAGTAATAAAAAAATGAAAGAATGCTATCTTTTCCCCCAAGCATTTAACAGTCCAGTGAGGGAGACCAAAAAAAAAAAATTCCTCCCCAAAATGAGGTGTCTCATTGAGCTCCCCCTCCTGCCTTTCAAGGCAGAAGCTATACCTCTGGAGAGAAGGAAAGCTAACAACAAACAAGCACCTTTCCTCGGAAAAAATGAGAAACTTGGAACCCAACCTCAATTTGAGTCTTGGCTCCTCAACTTCTAAGACAGGTGGCTTGCATACTAACTGCTATTTAACCTCTCTAAGGTTCACTTTCCTGCATAAACAGGGGACAGTAATTCCTATCCACCTACCAGAGCTGACGCTTAAAGGAGATGATGCAAACGAAGGCACCTTGTAACATGCCTAAGGTCCCAAGGGCTGGATCAACAATGAATCCGACAGCTTAGGACGGATAGAACTGAGTTTTCCCTCAATAGAGGGACCCAACCAATCTCGGCCGGATGAGCCCTCTCAGTGGGGCTGTTTTACAGCTGTTTTACAACAGTCACCCTCCGCCCCAAATAAGAGCAAATAAGAGCAGTTATTTAGATTCTTTTCGTTTGTCACTATTGATGCATTTGCGTGGGCTACTACTAGCAAGAGGAATAGCGGATAAAGAACTGGTTTTAGGTCACCTCTACCGTGTGACCTTGGGCTCGCTTTACCTCTTCGTGGGTTGTTTTTTTTTTCCATTTGTAAAACGGGGATCAAACTTCCTGCCTTAACTATCCACCCAATTTTTGTGAGAACTCAATTCGAATGTACGTGAAACTCCCCCTGCAGCCATTGAGCGCCTGGCAAATATGTTTAGTAATTTTTTTCCCCAGCTGCTAGGCGTTCTGAAGAGGATGGTACCTCCCTGCTTGCTTGGTCACTCTCTTTTCTTCTGGATCTTTATTAACGTTGTAATCTATAATCACAGAAATAACTGAAATCCTATGGCCATTTCTGGCACCAGATTCCCGAGCCCCACCCATATACACCTCCAAGCTGCCTGCCCGGCTGGGGACCGAAGGAAACTTAGCCCTTCTCCACACGAGGGCGGGCCCCAGCCCGTCAGGCCGCTCCACTGTTGAGTTCCCGAAGCCAATCCCCACAGCTCTTGCGCACCCGCCCGCCCCTTAGAGAGAGGAAACATGAGGAAACATTATGGCGGCCCGGAAGAATGGCAGGGGCGCAAGCCAATCACTGCGGAGAGCTGCCCTCATCCGGCAAGGCCCAGAGGCGGGGTCATCGGTGAAGATGGACAGCCAGAACAGCCAATAGAGTTATTGGAAACTGGGGAGGGGGCGGACGCCCGGCGCTCACAAGCGGTTGAGGCCCCTCAAGCCAAGGGCCCAAGGACCCGGCTCGGACTACAGCCCTTCCCTTTATCTCTCCCAAAGTTCTCCATCCCATGGTTGCTGGCCAGCCTCCCTGCCTGCGGACTAAGGGTGAGGGGAGGACAGAGGCGGCGGCTGCTGAACCCGCCTGACAGGCTGGGCCAGTGACAAAGAGCCGGTGGCCCAGGCCGAAACCCGGGAAGCGATCCCTTTGGGGAAGAGAGAATAAATCCGTTTAGAGATAGGAAAGACGCAACTCACGTTGTCGATCACGACAGGCTGGTTGGCGATCACATCGTAGGACTCCATGGCAAAAGAATCTCTCCTTCCGAGGAAGGAACTGCCAGCCGGGTCCGCTGCTAACGCCAGTGACACGCATGCGCAATCTAGCCGCCGGTACAGGGCATCCAGGGAGCGGCCCGACCTCGCCTCCAAAGAACTACAACCCCCAGCATGCCTTGCACCTGAGTATAACGCGCCAGGCAGCTCCGGAGCCCCGCCTAATTTAAGAATAGGGCCTCACATTTCCACGCATAGTACCCTGGGCTTTGTAGTCTCCGTAGATGACTAGAAGGGGACGCTGATTTATAGCTGTATTGCATGCCTGGATCTGTAGTTCCTTTGAAGGGATTCGCAGTGCATGCTGAAGTATGTAGTCTTCTTGAGTACTTGTCTGTAGTTGGGTTTGGATTGGCCAGTATTTCGTGGATGTTTAGATTTTCCAGATCAGTCGTGCCACTACTTCCCCTGGATAGTGTAAGGTTGCTATGCTTTTATTTGGGTCAGTAAGACATTAATAAACATTTATCAGCATCAAACTCTAATAAAGGAGAATTTAATACTACCCCCCACCACACACACATGGGGAAAGAGGACATACTCCCAGAACAAAAAACAATTTCAGTTTTATTGCTTTTTGAGAAAAACCAGCACATTTTGTTTCTTTTCGCATTTTTTCCTGGGTGAGTGTAAACTTTGCAAAGGCTAACATTGGTCTGAAGACTGACATTTGGAACTACGGGTACAGGTGATCTTTTGGTCATTAAAAAAACATCGTTCATTTAATAGCTTCAGGAACTGCTTTAGTATCTCTAATTTTCATGGAGAGTTAGAATTGACACTGATGAATAAGAAAATGGAGGTGAAGAGAAGTTATGTGTCACTACTTTCAAATGGGCCCAGAGCATTTTTGTCCAGATTATGCAACCCCTACCCCCTTCAAGTTGCTGGGACCCTTTAGTCAATAGCATTGGTAATCAGGACTTCCTTTTATTCCTTTTTCTTGGAATTCCTTATTGTACACAGGAAAATAATTCTCAACCAGGTGCCTTAGGAATTAAAAATTCTCCCAGGGGCGCCTGGCTGGCTCAATCGGTAGAACATACGACTCTTGATCTGGGGGTTGTAAATTCGAGCCCCACATTGGGTATAGAGATCACTTAAAATTAAAAAAAAAAAATTCTCCCAGTTACAGAGAGTGAAATGTAATGGGAAAGAGCGGGTCCACAGTAGATAATGAATATTGGGGTTCCTCAAGGCAATCTGCATACATCTGCATAAAACAGAACAAAGAAGAGATTGTCATAACTAAAAGCATTTATTAAAAAATTACCAAGTCTTGGGGTGCCGGGGTGGCTCAGTAGGTTAAGCGTCTGCCTTGGGCTCCGGTCATGAGGTCACGATCTTGGGGTCCTGGGATCCAGCCGCAGGTAGTCTGCTTCTCCCTCTCCCTCTGCCCCTCCCCCCCCACTCGTACACGCGCGCGCCCTCTCTCTCTAAAATAAATAAAATCTTAAAAAAATAAAAAAAATTACCAAGTCTTTTTAATTAGTCCTAGTTTACTTAATTCTTCCTACTTTTTAACAGGACTCCAAAATAAGTATTTCAACATACGACCCCTGAATTTGGCGGCGTTAGTGTCAGTAAATATGGTAAATGGACGTTCAATGACGGTAGGAAACATTCAGATTATAATCTATTGAAACTAAAATCACAGTAATGGATGAATGAATCAACCCGTTATTGTCAGATTTATGCTTAAATTCTTGTTAGCAGCGTGTCAGCAGATGACAAGCCCTTTCTCGGAGAACTTCCCACTGCTTTCGTGGGACCCTAGCACCTTAGGATGTCTCAACGTCTCTATTTGAACCTGGGTTCCTCCTAACACTAGGGGGAGGCCAAGAGCCTTGGGACACCCCCAACGCCAGGAGAGGGAGGCAGGACCTATTGTCAAGTCACGCCTTCCCCACCTGTGACTGGCACAGACACTACCCAATGGATACCGGGATAGGGCGCGCCGACGCCCCGCCCCCTTGAGCGCCCCGCGGCCCCCGAGGCACCCTCTGGCCGTCTCTGCGGCGGCGACGGCCTGGGCCGACTGTGCACCGTGCGCAGGCGCGGAGCCTAGACCTCGCTGCAGCCCCCATAGCCTCGGGGAGTCGTACAGACGGAGTCCGCCTGCTGGCGCGTCAGTGTTCTCCCCCTCGTCCACCCTCCCCGGTCCCCCCAGCGCCCTTCGCGCCCGGATGGCGGAGCTGCGGCCTAGCGGCGCCCCCGGCCCCGCCGCGCCCCCGGCCCCTGGCCCTAGTGCGCCCCCGGCCTTCGCCTCGCTCTTTCCCCCAGGACTGCACGCCATCTACGGAGAGTGCCGTCGCCTTTACCCTGACCAGCCGAACCCGCTCCAGGTTACCGCTATCGTCAAGTACTGGTATGCTCTGGGCCGCGGGGAGACGGACAGGGACGGGCTGGGAAGCGTTAGAACCCCAGGGGCGAAGTCATTTGCGGGGGAGGAGGAGGTGGAGAAGAATGGTTAAAGCACTTGGAAGGAGGGCGTCCTGCTGCGAGGGAAGGAGTTAAGGCTGAAGTTGGGAATGGGGACAAAGGGGTTAACGGAGCCTGTGGTAGCGAAGGGTTAACGAGGGGGGGGAGGATGAAGGGTTAACTGGGATTGGGAGAATAGAGTGAATTGGGGGTGTGTGTAGGAGCGGGGGGGTTGCGATAGGAGAGAAGGAACTGTAAACGTGGTGAAAGGAGGGGGCGCCTGTAGGGGGTCATTAGTGGGCGAGGGGAAGCCGGGGGCGGGGGGCGGCTGAAGTGGGATGGGGGAGGCAAGGCGGGGCTTGGGGAGCGTATGAGAGGGCTTTGGAGGAGTGCGGCTGGCAGAGCTCAGAGGGCTCGAGACTGCACAGGGTACGGGTGGATTTGGGGACCCCCGCTCTCCCGTAGGTTAGGAGGGGAGCAAGTTTCGAGAGTTGTGCCTGTGATGAGAAGAGGAGGAGGTCTCCTTTTGATACCTTCCCCATGAACTCAGACGTCAGTCATTTCGGTGCTGTGCTTTTTGCGTTTGAAGTTTCACGGAGCAACTTTTCTTGATAAACTTTGTGCTTACTCGGCACAGTTCTCTTTCTCCAAGCAGAGCTTCCTCTGGCTGTGCAGCTGCTTTGCTTTAGGACATTGGCTAGAACAGAGGCCGGGTCAGGGAGATCCATGGTTTGGCTCAGGATTGAAGGGGACCACAGTAAATAATGAAGACCTGGGACTTGGACACGGAGCAAAGAAGTGCAGCGAGATGTTAAGAGGAGCTTCCTGGCCACAAGCTTCAGGATTTAGGCAACAATCTCTCAGGGAAGCTGAGAGTAACCCTTAAGTAGCTCTGTTAAGGATCAGACCTGTTTACAGAAGGACTGCCCTTGGGGTAGGAATGGTCCTTTCTTGTTTCCCATTCCTGTTTGCAACCTGTCTCTTTCTACATCCTCTGGGCAAGGCAGGTGTTCGGGGGACTCTGACAAAGAGCCTGTCTTCATGGTTTTTCTGGACCAAATTGAGGAATTGGTTGAATCTGTCCAGAACTGCATTCATGTAGGCACTGTATTAGATGATCCCCTTCATTCAGTTCTGAAAGACTGTTCAGGAAGCAGCTTGGAATGTGGCCAAAGGGGCAGGTAGACCCAAAGGGGGAGATTGATAGAGTGGATGTCTTTGCTGGTTACCTCTCCCTTTAGGACTGAATCTTCTCCAGGATAACCTCTTAAGTTCCTCCAGAGATGGCAGAAACTAGACTGTCCAGGGCTGAGGCTAGTTCCCTGTGTCAGTGGGAGGGTGTGAAGAGACTGACAGCATGGAGGGCCTGGGGACCAGCCCCCTCCTATGGGAGGGCCATGTCTGATAGCCAGGAGGAGGTGTGGCCAGCCGTACAGTTCTCTTCTGCAGGCAAACTGTTCTTTGGTTGAGAGCAGTTTTTGAAGAGAGCTTCTGAATGAAAAGCAGCTCTTGATAACTTAATGACCCATTCTCATTGCACGTCCATATTTAAATATGTATTGCAATGAACTCTATTGGATTGTATCATGAGAAAAGTGGGCCAGGTTCTGCGATGCTATTTGTTCAGGCCTCATTTGAGTGTATGGAGAAATCCCTGCACGGACTTGGGCACCCAACTGGCCATGAAGGATAGAGTTTTTTGTCACCCAACTGCCATGAAGGATAGAGTTGTGTGTAGAAAATATTAAAGCACATGCAAAGGACTAAGACTGATTTCGGCAACTTTTTTTTTCTTTTTTTCTTTTTTTTTCTTGCTGCAAGCTTGTTAACCAGGCAGGACTTATCTTTAGAGATGGGCCAACATGTAATGACTAATACAGAGCACTGTGTGAAATTAGAAATGCTGGCTAGTTGCAGAAAAATATAAGAAGGAGCAGCTGAGAGACTGGTTCTTTCTAAGACTTGGAAGGGTTTGCCTGAGTAAGATTCTGAAATCAATTCATTGATATACCTCACATTTGGGATCCCACAAGGCCTCGTTGGCAGTTTGACTGACTAAGACTACCTGGGTCTGGTTATGGCCCAGGGTCCCTTGAGATTCCTTTTCTTGTGACAGAAGGTTGGCTCTTTGGCTAGTGGACCCTGGCCAGCAGGGACATCCTGGCTGAAAGCTGAGACTTTAGTGAGCAGGGAGCAGAAACACGGAGGCAGAGCTTATACCCTGGAACCACAGCGGTCCTGCAACTGGCGTGTGGAGTGAAGTTGGGAATTCAAGGAAGAGCATCAAGGGATGCTCTGGGTCCTTGGATAACATCTTTTTCTAAGTGCAAAATCTTCTTTTCTTTTAAGATTTTATTTTTATTTATTTGAGAGAGAGCATGAGAGAGGAGAGGGTCAGAGGGAGAAGTAGACTCCCTGCTGAGCTGGGAGCCTGATGCGGGACTTGATCCTGGGACCCCGGGATCATGACCTGAGTTGAAGGCAGTTGCTTAACCAGCCGAGCCACCCCCAAATGAGAGTAACCCTCAAGTAGCTCTGTTAAGGATCAGACCTGTTTACAGAAGGGCTGCCCCTTGGGGTAGGAATGGTCCTTTCTTGTTTCCCATTCCTGTTTGCCCCCCCAAATATGATTATTTTCTATATACTCATCTGTTTCCCATCAGGTTTCTGAGTAAGTAGAATAGAACTTGGGGACAAGGTTAATTTTGTCTGACTCTTGGTTATTCCTTGCAGTTGTAGTTTTAAGGTAAAGGCCCATTCCTTGGTGTAGTATCTCCTGAGAGAGGGCTGCAGAGGTATGGCAGAGGGAGCATGGAACTGTGGATACAGTTTTGCCACTTGTTGCTGGATGGACCTAGGCTGTAGGAGGGGCAAGATTGGGAATTTGCAGCAGGAAACTGGAGCAGATATGGAGCCTGTAGTCACTACGATCTGTTATGGGGTTCTGCAGCTATCATGTAGTTGCTACCCTTTTGTTTCCTCCTTCCCCCAGCAAACTTTTCTATATTCAGCTGGTTGTGGAAGTATTCAAATGATTTGGCCAAATCAGAGTTAAGGAAAGACATGGGGATTTGTCCCTTTTTCTAATCCACTCAGTTGAGATTCTTAGCTATTTGGAGCAACTTTCTTACAAGTTCTATAAATAACTTAGCATTTCCTAGCAGAGAATAAGGATTTCTATAAAGGCAAGTAATACCCTGGCAAAAGAGGATGAAACCAGACCTACTGGTTTTAAATAGTATTTAAATTGCATGGTACTGTCACTCTTGCTGGGATCACATGTAACATGTCTTTTATTTGGTTATTAGTGTTACTTCAGTGTACGATCCCAATTGCAAAGTGCACTCCATCAATGTCCCAGGGGCAGGCAAAGTTTTTTGCAGTCTGTGGAACAGTCAGATGTCCGAGGCAGCTCAAATGCAGAGTGTTTGTGGGCTAAATGCAGACTTCCTTCCGCTGATGGTTTCCATTTAGGCTGTTTCTCAAGTCTACCAAGTTTCCCTATCCATTCTGAAGAAAAGCAGGACCCTTTTTTTTTTCCTTCTTTTTTTTTAAAGAGCACTAATTGCTCTACTAAAGGAAACCCTTATGGAATTAAATCCTCAGAGTGAGCTAATGACTGAATCTCTTCCTCAGCTGCTTCTCTGTTGGAATTATGGGGGATGTTTAATGTGGTTCTCAGAGGCCCCAAATCATTTACTATTCCAGCTCTACCTTTGAGGCGACAGTCTCCTGGGATCATCTCCTGGATGCAGGTGCTCCCAAGGCTCAGTCCGGCCAGCTGCGGTTCTCTGTGCAGGGCTGGCCTAAGTGTGGCCTTTGTCACTTGCATGAGAAAAGACCAGCTTTGGTCTGTGGAGTGCAGGCTGGGGTCTGGAGGCATTGGGTTTGTTTAGAACAAACTGTAATTAACATAGGGCACAATATAGTCTTTCAGGAATTAGCTGTGTAAGAAGCAGGAGTGGAGCTGAGCCTCTGCTTCCAGGAACAATGCCCATTGGGGATGCTCAGGATGGTCTTTCAACAGAAGCCAATCGATTGACTAATGCACCTCTTGCCTTGAAGCTTGGCATGTTTACAGGCACCACGGAAGAGAGATAATTCCTGCCAATCCCATTTGGGATTGGTAATTTGAAATAGGAGGAAGTAAAAGGGGTGACCACCTAGTCTGTTTTATTTCTAAAAGGGGTGCTGCATGTTGGGGATCGAAGGGAGCCTCTTGTGCTTATGGAATTGGGCACTTCTAGCCACCCATCCCTTGGTCTTATCCCGGAGGTGTGGCCGCCTTTTAGTCATCCTAGGTTCCTCCAGGATGGGGTCTAGATTTGTAAGGCATGACCTCTTAGCTTCACATTGTCTGCTTTCAGGCTCACTGACTCCACTGTGTTTTGTCTTTTGCAGGTTGGGCGGTCCAGACCCCTTGGACTATGTTAGCATGTACAGGAACGTGGGGAGCCCTTCTGCCAACATCCCTGAACACTGGCATTACATCAGCTTTGGCCTGAGTGATCTCTATGGTGACAGCAGAGTCCATGAGTGAGTGTATGGCATTTGCCCATCCTCCACCTGTCTGTTCCTTAGCCTTGAGCCATATTTCTGGGGTTTCCCTGAGCAGGGGTGATAATGTCATAGTGGTTGGCACTTCTCAGGTAGAACCTCTGGGTTTCTGCCCTCTGCTTGTATCTACTTGCGCTTGAGTGATCCAGGTCAGCACCCGAACTCTGCTCATCTGGTGCAGGACAGTGTTGATGATGAGCAAGTGTTCTAAAACCATCAGGTTTTTCCAAGCTGCTCTGCTGTTTGAACTCAGAGGACAGGCAGAATAGCTATGACCCAGAATTTGAATTGATGCCTCTAAGTATACTTGTTTTTTTCTCCTTCTAGCTTGTAGTGAAAAATCTTAAACATAAGGCATAGTTGAAAGAATTTTATAGCCAACATACAAGTACCCACTACCTAGATTCTACAATTAATATTTTACTCTACTTACTTTATCATGAGTATATCCATCTCTCTCCCTCTGTTGATCTTACTTCCTTCCTTGTAACCTGCAGTTATCTGTGCTCAGCTTATCCATAGTACATTTTTTATTCTAGTCTATCTCCCATTTTCTGCCCTGTATACTTCTAAATCCTACCTGCCTCCCGTTTGTGCTCCTATAACCACTGAATTTAGACAATTTTAATATTAAGTTAAACGTCAACTTAGTATTAAGTCAGCTAAAACCCTAACAGCAACACTAATAATAACAAAAGCTAACTTTTTTTTTTTAAAGATTTTATTTATTTATTTGACAGAGAGAGACACAGTGAAAGAGGGAACACAAGCAGGGGGAGTGGGAGAGGGAGAAGCAGGCCTCCCACTGAGCAGGGAGCCCAATGCGGGGCTCGATCCCAGGACCCTGGGACCATGACCTGAGCCGAAGGCAGATGCTTAACGACTGAGCCACCCAGGCGCCCCGAAAGCTAACATTTCTTAAACATTGATTATGAGCCAGGTATTCTTTTGGTCACTTTGCATGTATAAACTAATTTTATTTTCATCACAACCATAGAATACTGGTGGATACTCATATTTGCCCCATTTTACAGATGAGGAAACTGAGATACAAAGAGTCTATAACTTGCTTAAGGTCACACAGCTTGGAAGTGGTGGAGCCAGGATTCTCATGCAGGCGTTCTGGCTGCAGAGCTTATGGTCCTAATGACTGTGCTCTACTGTCTCTTGAACAATTATATCATGTCCTCGAGTAAGTTACTATCTATAATTACACAAACACAAATATTTTGTTCCATCTACACTCTTTTTTGAGAGGGGTTCTTTTCTTCAATTTATTTTATTTTATTATTATTTTTTAAGATTTTATTTATTTATTTGTCAGAGAGCACAAGCAGGCAGAGCGGCAGGCAGAGGGAGAAGCAGGCTCCCTGCCGAGCATGGAGCCTGATGCGGGACTCGATCCAGGACCCTAGCCGAAGGCAGACGCTTAATGACTGAGCCACCCAGGCGCCCTCTTTTCTTCAATTTAAGTGTTGTCTTCCTTCCCCCTCATCAGCATGGTTAATCAAAAGCTGATTCTATTTCTATTATTATATCCTTTCCTGCTTTTTGCTTTTTGTCCTATCTTTTTTGCCTCTTACACTATCTTTTTGGTATCTTGGTGATGACTACTTAGCATGTGTAGGTTGAAAGACTAGCAGGGCTCTTCTTGCATAAGAGGCTGATTCTGGGGATGTTGATGGTATCATGATGAAGATGATAATCATCAGGGTTTTTGTTTGTTTGTTTTTTGCTTTGTTTTAGTTCTTAGTATCTTATCATCACATCAAATACTTTACAATCGTACCAGGTTCTTTTGTTATTTCCATTTTGTAGATGAGAAAATTAAATCACTTGAGGGGTAAATGAATTGGCTAAAGGAAAAGAACTAGGATTCAATTGAACTGTCTTGAGTCCAAAGTCTGAGCTTTTAACCACTAGGGTGTTCTACCTCTCTGATCACAGGTCCAACCCAACTTCCTCTTCTCTCTTGTTAAGCTGGGGACCCAGGCCTCATCTCCTTACTGATCACATGTCGAGAGCAATGTCTGGGCCTGCCTTTATAGCCTTCCAAACAGATCCATTGCAATGTCAGCAGAAGGCTTTGGGAACAGTGAATTAATCTTGCCTGAATGGGGACCCTGCATTACAGTATTAATAATGGAGATAGAATAGCAAACAGATGTGGGCGGTAAAGGCACTATGCTGGACTTTTCCGTATATTTTTAATAAAAACCTGCAGAGGGTATTTAGTGCAGTTAGCCTGTACCTTTTTGTTGACAGATTTATTCCAGTCAGAAGAATACCATTTCCTATGTGGCTTAAAGATTCTTACAGTATACCTGCTTATCAGTGATGGGTCCAAAGCCCAAAGTGACATGAAGAACATAATTGAGAAAGCCCCATATTTCAGAGGGGGCAACCTCTGAATTTTAAAGAGGGCCTTCCTTACTGTTTTTCCACTTTTGAAAGTAGCCCCTTATATATGTGTCATTTCTGTATGATGAAGCACTGTGATATTCATATATCATTTATGACAATAGTAAGACCTCGATTTGGGTTGTATCTCACCGCCGGAATCTAGTGTTTTCTGGTATTATGTCCTACCACTAGAAGAACATGGAGGGAGTGTTCTTAGATATTTACCCAGTTCTGATCTATGTTGCAGAAGTCAAAAGTACATTTGTAATCGGCCTTGTGCTGGTGTGACTGGTCTCTTCTCAGTCCTGGTAAGTTTCTTGAAGAAAAGTTTGCTTTACCAAACATTTCGTGTGGCAAGGCCTCTTGGAAACAGATTTAAAGATTCTTGTTTAACTTAGTGCTTGAAGCTGAGGTCAAAAAGGTGAGTGTTCTACCATCCAGTTTATTTATTTATTTATTTTTTTTAAGATTTTATTTGTCAGAGAGAGAGAGAGAGCGTGCCCGTGCGCACAAGCAGGGGGAGTGGCAGGCAGGGGGAGAAGCAGGCTCCCTGCTGAGCAGAGAGCCCGATGTGGGACTCGATCCCAGGATTCTGGGATCATGACCTGAGCTGAAGACAGATGCTTAACCGACTGAGCCACCCAGGCGTCCCTACCATCCAGTTTAAATGCTAAGAAGTGTTGAACTAGAATTATGGCAAATGAATCTCTAGTAATGCTCTTCTTCCACTGTCTTTTGTCTTTCTATTCAGTGAAAAAAGGGCCCAAGCATTGGTTCATTTATTCAGCATACATTCCTCAAGCACCTATTTTGTTCCAGACACAGAACATCTTAATAGATGTTTTAGGGATAAAACGCCAAGACATAATTCCTGTCTGCAAGGAGCTCATGTTCTAGAGGGAGGATAAACATAAAGAGAGGGTTATAGTACTGGGTAATAAATGCTACAATCCATGGATGAAGAACATGACCTGGGAGCAGAATGGAGGGTATGACTTTTAGTCAGGCTGCTGAATTGGAAAAAGCTCCAGGGAGGAAGTGAAGTTTGAGAGGCACCTGCAAGCTGCAGGCCAGTAGGAAGGAAGGGGGCAGGGGAGGATCATAGCCTGACACTCTAGGGACCAGCACTTACTTTCAGGTTTGAGAGGACTTTAATAATCTTCTGGCCCAGTGTTTCCCAAACTTCTAGTGCTGCCTTCATAATTTTTGCCATGTAGTAGATCATCTACTTTATGTTCTTTTCCAACTAACTTCCCTTTTGGGGCGCCTGGCTGGCTCATTTGGAGGAACATGGGACTTTAGATCATGGGGTCATGAGTTCAAGCTTCACATTGGGCATAGAGCTCACTAAAAATTAATTAGTTAATTAACCCCCCCTTTTAAAAGTGATATAAATATATTTTTATTAAAAAAATTTTTTTTAAGATTTTTATTTACTTATTTGACATGAGAGAGAGCACAAGCAGGAAGTAGCAGAGGGAGAAGGAGAAGCAAGCTCCGCACCGAGCAGGGAGCCCGACACAGGGCTCAATCCCAGGACCCCGGGATCATGACCTGAGCCGAAGGCAGATGCTAAACCAACTGAGCCACCCAGGCACCCCGTAAATTAATTTTTTTTTAAAGATTTATTTATTTATTTTGAGAGAGTGAGAATGAGAGAGAGAGAGCACATGAGAGTGGGGAGGGTCAGAGGGAGAAGCAGGCCCCTTGCCGAGCAGGGAGCCCGATGTGGGACTCGATCCCGGGACTCCAGGATCATGACCTGAGCCGAAGGCAGTCGCTTAACCAACTGAGCCACCCAGGCCCCCCCATAAATTAATTTTATTTATTTATTTATTTATTTATTTATAAAAATCAATTTTTAAAGTTTAGTTTTTAAAAATTAAAATTAATTTTTAAGTCACCACCATGTATGGAAACCAGTATCACTTGCCATAATTTAAAGGTAACTATGGAAATAAATGCAGCAATAACAGCAATGTTATTAAATTCTAGCTTAAGGCCAGCTTTCTTTTTGTTAAAGAGATTAGCAAGTATGGAAAAAAAAAAGAGAGAGATTAGCAAGTATGAGAGAGGTGTTGAAAAGATATGCTAACACCAAATAGAAACTGACCCTAGACATGATTAGAAAAATTGAAAGCAAATTATAAAGGGAACTTTTTTTTAAAAAGTATGATTCAAGGGCACCTGGGTGGCTCAGTTCACTAAGTGTCCAGTTCTTAATTTTGGCTCAGGTCATGATCTCAATGTCATTAGTTGGAGCCCTGCATCCCCCTCCACTCTGGGTGTGGAGCCTGCTTAAGATTCTCTCTCTGGGCACCTGGGTGGCGCAGAGGTTAAGCATCTGACTCTTGGTTTTGCCTTAGGTCATGATCTCAGGGTCATTGAGATGGAGCCCGGTGTCAGGCTTTGCACTCAGTGGGGAGTCTGCTTGTGTCCCTCCCCTCTCCCCCACTCGTGCTCTGGTGCACACTCTCTCTCTCTCTCTCAAATAAATAATAAGATAAATAAATAAAAATAGAAAGTATGATTTAGTACTATTATTGTCACAGACAAATAGGAAACACTGATCTTTC